TCTACAAATGCAGAAAATTGTTTTAAGATTTCACAATTATATCTCTCTATTTCTCCCCCTTTTATTTTATTGTTTCATTATCTGCAGTGATGCGTCTTTTTTTTAGAGTTAACATATTTTTGTCAAAATGATGTACATCGCGGGACAAAATTCACTCTCTTTTCAATATTTACTTATCATATTATACAAGTTTGTAAATTTTCAAGAAATACTTTACTGTTAACTTCAATGTCATTTGGTCTCTGGTGGGTAGCTGTCTTATTGGAAATACTACCACATCTTCTTATTTTTATATTTGAATTCATTGTTTAACCAATTTTATGACATTTTCTACTTTTGCAAAGAAAATGAAGGCGAAGTGTACGTAATTGCACGCCTAGCGGAATTTAGGATAAAAAACGTGCGTCGTTAGTTACGCGGATTATCTCACCTACTCCAAGAAAGGAAAAATGGGCACATGAAAGAAAAATGACTTCGTGCGGTCTATCATGAATCCAAACAAGTATTCATGTGCTATCTCAAAACTTCAAAGAAATTATTAGAATGACTCCAATCAGAAATCTGAGTATCCTATTGTGAGTTAGTCTGACTTTATTACCACTGTTTTTGTTTTAGACACGCAGGAGCAGGTACACAATACGACTCGTGTTTTTTTCAACAGAAGGTAAAAACGCATAAACAACAAAATTATAACCAAATAAACAAATAAACCAGTGACAATTCTGCTTCTATTCGTATCAAATTCATTAAAATCAAACCAGAATTGACCCCACAATATTTTTTGAAAAACCATAGTTTTGAATGAAATTCACAGTGTAGCGTAAAATTGTAGGTAACGAATAATTATATTGCATGTGAATTTGTGTGTTGAACAAGAAAGACGTTGGCATGTCCGTTTTTATGCAATTGAAAATTTTATGATGTTTTATATTTTATTATTTATGTAAAAAGTATAAAAGATACTAAGGGGTAATCGACAACTAGTACAACATAATGAACATTTATAAGCCGAAGGCGAAGAAAAAGCCAACAGCAAAAAAAAACCATCAGATTCCGTCCACAAAACATTACACACTCAGAAACTAAGAATTGAGCACTATTACATTTATCTCAGAATAAGTAAAATATATGTCATCCAAATCTCAGTTTTCAAGGTGCAGAAAATAAACAGGTGTCTTCTATTCCGTCCGCAATTTTTGGGGAAAGTAAAATCTAAATTTAGAACCATGGTTGAAACTGAAACTACACATGTATGATAAAAATAGAACGTGTTATTTTTTCTTTATCAAATATCAATTTCGAAGGGATAGCGAAATATGTTTTCTTTTGTTGTGTGCTTTTGTGTATCATTCAGCAGTAGTATAAGGTAGGGGAAGAAGGGGTAGGAAGAAAATAAGGTCTACAATGTCGGGGCTTTTTATAACCGACTATACGATATGGATTTTTCTCATTGTTGAAGGCCGTATGGTTGCCTATAATTACATCCACATCATTTAAGATAGCTGGAGTGTCTAAATGTTGGACGATCAATTTTTCTTAAACTTCTGTAAAAGACTTCTGGGTCAATGTAATTTCAAATTTCAATATAAAAACTGGGGATCACGGACCTTGTTTTTTCGTAATAACACATTGAAATTAACGAAATTTGGGTTATTTTATATTGTTAATATAGGGGAAACTTAAGTTTTCCTGAATGCGGAAACATTAAACGATAGAATTGGCTAAAATTCGATGAGAAAATTGCTTTTCTTTAATAACTCCGAAATATCAAATAAAAATAGGGGTCACGGGCCTTATTTTCTTGAAAAAATCCCCAAAAATTTTAAATATACTTTACTACACTTAATTTTTTGATAGTTCAATCTTTAAATTTCAAGTTTTAGGTATTTTGTTGTATATTAAATGATACTTGGTAAAATATTTTTAAAACAAAAAAGTATTTTTGCAACATGATCAGAACGGACGCTCAGAAAAAGACACCCGATCTACCTTAAACTGTGGCAGATAGTTGTCTCATTTGCAATCATACCACATCTCCTTATTTTCATATTATATTAACAAAACTGCAATTCATTTGCATTATATACAGGGACAAGTTATATCAAAAACTCCGATCTGTTTTACTTTGCTAAAATTCATATGCGGGTTCTTCTTTTGACCTTATTACAGCCATAAAAATTCTCAAGATAATATGCAGATGCAGTTTTCTTATTTTTTGGGAGTCGTGCATGTGGATATTCAACAAATAATGGTACAAGAAATTATTTCCTTTTTTACTTAAAATCTCCAGCAAACATTATATTATGCTTTGTCGTGTAGTTAAAGAAAAGGGAAAGCGATCGAGACAGGAAATTTTTAAAATAAAATTGCAGAGTTGTGTCACGTGCACGTGTGTGAACCTGACAAATAAAATGGGTTTTGTGCGCAATACCTCGAATAGCGCCGGAAATGGTGAGGATGAAAAGATGCAGCAAATTATATACACTTTTTTAAAATACAAACATGCAGAAATAAGATTTTAAAAAAGACGTGTATACGCGATCCCAATATTATAACCGATTATTAAAATACGTATAGAATCATTCTGTCAACGCTGTGTTAACCGGGACAATTTCAAACTTGATATTTGATTCATAATTATTAGAACAATACAATATAAAAATAAGAAGATGTGGTATGATTGCCAATGAGACAACTCTCCACAAGAGTCCCAATGACACAGAAATTAACAACTATAGGTCACCGTACGGCCTTCAACAATGATCAAAGCCCATAGTCAGCTATAAATACAAGCATTTCAAAAAAGATGTGGAACCCTGTCTAATTAAGAAAAGATGGAGTTAAAGTCTATACAGTAACTTTCTTTCACTTGCAGTATATTTATTTGCCAATTTGCTTTTTTTTGGCAGCAGAATTATCCTTAAAAAATACTCAGTTTATTTCCTTATCAATTGATTACGCTTGAGCATTTGCAATAATTAGGAAAATGGGTTATAAATAATTCGTAAATATAAATCAACATGTAGACATCTTATACGTTCAGGTATTTCACATCCAATATTTTTTGGTAATATTCTTTACAAAGCACAAAAATGTCGGCATTCACCTCAAAAGCTAACCAAAACTTTAAACAGACTTATTTGGAAAGGATATAGTTACGATACTGTTGTCAGGTCATTAAGGATTGCATATTTTAATATTAATATTGATTCACTCATAGGGTCTTTGCATCGGAAATAAACACTATTATTCTAAAACCAGTTGTTGGCATGATACGGGTTATGTTCTTCTCATATATTTTATGATTGTATGATACTAAACCCCTAACGGGAGGGATTGTACTTGATTTTCATATGATGAAGACATAATCTTTCAATCAGTTTAATTGAGGTCTGGAGCTGGCATGTCAATAACTGCTAGTAGTCCTTTGTTAATTTATGTATCATTGTCTTTTTGTTTAGTTTCTTTTGTTACCTATTCTGACATCGGACTCGGGCTTCTTTTAAACTGAGTTATACTGTGCGTATTGCTATGTGTTTCTTTATTCTACATTGGCTAGAGGTATAGGGGAGGGTTGAGATCTCACAAAACATGTTTAACCCCGCCACATTTTTGCGCCTGTCCCAAGTCAGGAGCCTCTGGCCTTTGTTAGTCTTGTATATTTTTTTAATTTTAGTTCATTTATATGTTTTGGAGTTTAGTGTGACGTCCATTTTCACTGAACTAGTACACAATTTTATTTAGGGGCCAGCTGAGGACCACCTCCGGGTGCGGGATTTTCTCACTGCGTTGAAGACCCATTGGTGGCCTTCGGCTGTTGTCTGCTCTTTGGTCGGGTTGTTGTCTGCTCTTTGGTCGGGTTGTTGTCTCTTTGACATATTCCCCATTTCCATTCTCAATTTTATACACACTCACGATTTTGTTTCGACACTGTACGGTATAATAGCGTTATAGAGTTATATCTATGACGTTACAGTAGACATCAATAACGTCGCCGAATGTTTTTTATTCTTTCCGCTAAAAATCAAACTTCCACAGGATATAGCTTGAAAACTAGCACGGTTGCTAAGGACTTTCTTTACACCAATGGGTTCGTCGTTCATTTTTGAATCGCATATCGATTTTTAAAAAAATTCTGTGGACCAACGAATTAGAAAATCTTGATAAAGTAAAAATATCTGCCGATTTTTATGATTTTCCCTATATATCCTTTGTATTTTTGGCGTATCATGCTGTTAATTTCAACAGCTTGTATCTGAAAAACGAAAACGGTTACCCCTTTTTTTTATTTTATTGTCTGATGTATTTTTACAAGCAGAATCCACATGTAAAATTAAAAAAAATTCTGTGGAGTAGTTAATTACGTACACTTCGCCTTAAACAGCAACTAAAGTTTTTGACGTCACAAGGTACTAAATGGAACATACTGAATAACTCTTGAATAAAGGAAGGAGTGTTGTGCACTAAAAGATTTACTGTATAGTTATCTATTTTACTAGACATATTGTGTATCCGAATTCATGCATGGCTTGATTCATTTGAATATATGTTGTGAAAATATTTTAATAATTTATATTTTAAGTGCAAAAGTAGAATCATGTTATGAGAAACAAAGTGAAAAGGGAGTAACTCTCTCACTAGAAGGATAGCTATGAAAAGTCGACATAATTATATTTATCGAATATGTTATAAATGATGCGCCTATTAACTATTCAACATTTTTATTATTAAGTCCCATTTATAATAAACATGAATATGTATGACAATAAACACCTGGCATCTAAATGACTGTATTCGATTAAAATCCCTCTTGTGGTGTTGTAATGGTACCAGATTAATGTCTCTATATTGCCGAATGGGATATCGTGCAAGAAAAAATGTAACGCAATACATCTCTTTGTTTCTCTAAATAAGTTTTAAAAAAATTTTAATTATTAAATATTTTGATTTTCCAACTGCAAAACAATCCTGTTTTTGCAAGCTATAAATTGAAAGGTGTAGAAACATATATTAATCATACTGATATTATTACACGGAAGCAAGGTAACGGTTTCAGAATAGGAAGATAGAATGGCTTCAAGTACTAAATTCATTTTAATGCTTGTGATCAGCAGCTCCATCGTTATTAGCCACTGTATAGGTAAGAATACTTCCTTTCCTATCATGAAAAACATTTATAAAATATAGTAGGTTAGTTCTCCACAAAAGGGTACTACAGACTGCATTTAAAGCATATTATTCAATTTTGTTGTAGTTATTAAATTATTTCTTGTGAAAGTAAGATGCAAAATATGAATTCAAATTGAAAGTCTACAATGGACACTATATTATTTCAAGGTTAAGAGGTATCATTATACATTTGAAATGGTCTCTGAACCTGATTTAATTTTACATAATATACGGATTGCTACAACAACCAACCAACTATAACCAATGTTTACGGATGTTTGCTACTCTGTTTCAAAATCAAAAGCTTTTTAAAAGACTGTATATAAATTGATAGTTCATAGATAACGAAACTTAAAAAGTAGAAAAACGATACAGGTCTGTGTCCTTGCTTTTATGATATAAGACATTAAAATATTTGGCGGGAAATGATTTTTTCCCTAGATTTTTTATATATTTATCATTGGCACTTTTTTTCTTTAAAAAAAACTTTTAAAACAAAATCACGGATTCTATAAGATTTTCAAAAATTGCTTTTTTACTACATGTATATGTAATTAAAAAATGTTACAATAAAATTTTAATGACAATACATCTATAAAACCAGGGGATTCCGAATATCTGATAAAAACTATAAAAGAAGAGTTGCGAACATCATTAATGCCCAGTAACGATACAGTGTTGATCCAACGGTGATTTCTTTTTTCAACGGAAATTTGCATATAAGCAATTTTACCTGATCAATTCAAATATGTAATGATGAATATACCTTCAATTGCTACATGTAAATTTAGAGATGAATGGGGTCGAAATTTGAGATTTTTTTCTATAGAATTGTATTTTGTGAAGATTTCAATCCTTTGAGCAGAGATATCTAACTTTTTGTTTTCAAAAGAAAAATACAAGCAGTTTTTTGTAAAAACATTTGGAATATTGTATTTACATAAGTATGCTCTAAATGTATATACCAATTCTCTGGAAATAATTTATATCTTATTTTTTTCATGATTTTGATAAAACCGGTATTTTTGCTGTATATTTATCTAATTTGACAAAAAATCATTTGTGATTTTTTTCATAAAAAATTGGTACGAATAATCTTCCTGCATTACTTATCCAATTGTCATTTTAAAATTTACATTTGTGATGTAGCTGAACAAGACAAGACAGTTTTAATATAATAATTATCTGTTGAATTCAATTAAAAAAATCAATCTATCATAGTCTCAACTTTATAATATATAATATAATGATCATAGGATTCCATATTGAATATGGTGCGCCTGACTTGCGGAACATTGACTTATTAATTACGTTCAAAACAGGGCTAGTAAAATATTCCTTGGAGTGACTTACTTTACAAGCAATACTGCAGCAGAGGGTAGTTTAGGATACCTGTCATGTTTTTCTAAGCAAAGACTTGAAGTATTAAGATTTTTAAGGCTCCAGTGTCTTAATTTACAGACACACCTAAATAAATTTTAACCTAGTTTAAGCTCCTTTTCGAAAAAGTCATTTTGCACTCTACACCACCACTTCCGGAATGTCCATATATTGGAAAGCGTATGTTTTTCGATAATTCGTTTTTCTTCGCATATATTATCAATTCATAGGAAAAGTCAGAGAAAGTTTTAAATACATGTACTAAATAAATATATGCACTTCATTGAGTATATATGATATATTGACATCATATTATTTTCCTCTTTTTAATAGTAAATCGTTCTATTTTTGTGTATAGTAGATATATTTTATCTTCTCAGAATGTCACAAAACCTGGTTGGAATAATGCTTGTTATACTTGTTTAAAACAAAATAAAAGTCACGGAAACCGAAAACCCGAAAAACAAGTTTGAAAACGGTCTAAAATTTAAAAAAAAATTAAGTGTAACCAATATCTAGTTATATGTCTAAACTAGAAACGCTGAAACAATAAAAGATGTTATAAGGGAGCTACCATTTGATTTGATTTTTAAGGAGGGGGGGGGGGGGGGGGGGGGGGGGGGGGCTAGGATGAAATTTGAAAAAAGGCAGGACAGGAGTTTGAGTAAAAAAAAGGCAGGATGAGCAACTTGTCAAAAAAAAAAGGCAGATGGCAATTTATGTAAAAAAAGTCAGGATAAACTAACAAAAAAAAGGCAGGACCGAATAGAGTGAAAAATAAAAAGGCAGGACAGAGATTACAACTAAAAAAAAAAGCAGGACAACATTTTTCATCCTAGCTCCCCCCTAAAAATCAAATGGTAGCTCCCTAATATACAATAGTACATTAAAATCATTTCAGGTACATTCTGTAATACATGTGTACTTCCTTGCAGAAAACATTGACCCGTGTATTTATGCTATTTATACTTTTATAAATCGCAATTGCAGCCTGCTGTTTATCAAATAATGGTTAAGACACATTGTATAATTTAGTCTAGATAAAAAGGAACATATAGTTTTCCATACCTTGCCAATATGCCATACGATAATCAGCTATGCAATGAAAGTGGAGTCCAAGCAATTATTAGCTACGCAATTAAGTGAAGTTTATGCAATTATCAGCTATGCAAATAAGCGAAGTCCATGCTATAATCATCTATGCAATTAAGTGAACTCCATGCAATAGTCAGATCTTTAATTAAGTGAAGTCCATGCAATAATCAGCTATAAGATTAAGTGAAGTCTATGTAATAATCAGCTATGCAATTAAGTGAAGTCCATGCAATAATCAGCTATGCAATTAAGTGAAGTCCATGCAATAATCAGCTATGCAATTAAGTGAAATCCATGCAATAATCAGCCGCGTAATTAGGTGGAGTCAATGCAATAATCAGATGTGTAATTAAGTGGAGTCCATGCAATAATCAGTTATGCAAATAAGCGGAGTCAATCAATGCAATAATCAGTTATGCAAATAAGCGGAGTCAATCAATGCAATAATCAGTTGTTTAATTCAATGGAGTCCAAACTCCATGCAATAATCAGGTATGCAATTAAGTGTTGTCTACTTTATTAAAAAAGAACAATGTTAATATTTTATCCGTAGCAACTAAAAATAAATTTTGTATAATTTCAGGTATGCCAGGAAATGAAATACATAGACGGAGAATCTGTGATTCTTTAGAGTCGATGTTTCCCAAGTCGTATTGTCAAGAAAAAATTGAAATGCAATATGTAATGTGTAGTGAATGCGGTCTATATGATACTTTAAGGTGTGAGCGGTATAAGTGTCAAAACATATGATGTTTCCGAAGAAGATAACAAGAAGATCAGATGCTAGTGCTGTAAACATGGGCAATTAACTGTATAATAGTCATGGAAGAATCTTGTTTTGTTATAACATCTGATATTTGAAAATAAAAAAAGTTTTTGAGATATGCATGTTCTTGTTTATCTAAAACAATAAGTTAATCAAATGACAAAAAAAAAAAACCAAAATTGGGTCAGGTGAGTTAAAAATGCAAATATGTGGTATAATTCCAAATAAGAAAACTTTCCACCACCGACAAAATAACGTAGACGTCAGTAACTATAGGTCACCGTACGGCCTTGAACAATGAGCAAAACCAACACCACATAGGAAACTATAAAAGGCCGCGACATGACAGAGGTAAAACAATTCAAACGAGAAAAGCAGAGGACTGATTTATGTACAAAACAATAAATGAAAAACAAATATGATAAACAGAAACAAATGGCATCCTCTGAATTACAGGATCCTGACTTGGGACAAGGTCATGTAAAATCCGGCGGGGTTGAACATGTTTGCAGGCGCCCCCTAACCTGGGACAGTAGTGTAACAGCACCACAAAAGAACAACATATAAAATCAGTGGAAAAAGATTTGACTAAAAGGTCAACACAAAGCACACAAAACAAAAACAACTAACAAAAAACCTCAAGTCACACAGTACCGAACTGAGAGTATTCCCCGGTACCGGAAGCTAGTTCAAAACCAATAAAAACTAACAAAAAATTATGTCTCCAAGACAATATCAATCAGTGCACATCAAACGGATTTAGTATAAGGACGTTATAAACAGTCAAAGAAAAACATGACCATGTGCAATGCCGAAATATAAGTATCGACATAATGTAGGACCATAAATGCTCAATTCTGTGTAGCAATATATTAGTTATGTTTTAATTAAATTGAAAAAACAAATTAATGTTTGTACCAATAAAATCAATATTCAAAAATCGTATTTCATTATTAAACTGATAACCTTTCAGAATACATAGTTTAAATTAAAAAATAAAATAACAAAAATACTGAACTCCGAGGAAAATTCAAAAAGGAAAGTCCATAATCAAATGGCAAAATCAAAAGCTCAAACACATCAAACGAATGGATAATAAATGTCATATTCCTGACTTGGTACAGGCATTTTCTTATGTGGAAAATGGTGGATTAAACCTGGTTTTAAAGGTAGCTAAACCTCTCACTTGTTTGACAGTCGCATCAAATTCCATTATATTGACAATGATGTGTGAACAAAACAAACACAATAGGTAAAAATATCACAAATAGGGGTACAACAGCAAAGGATCGATAAGTTTACACGGATCGTATATAAATTTACTGGCTCTATAAAAAACATCACCGACAAATATAAGGATGTAATATCCCGTTTGTAATAAGTTTTCTAAGGTACAACCAAACTGTCTAACCGAATCTTGGTATCTATAACTGAATTTAGTAGAAGTTTAAGTAATTTGATATATCGAAATCACCGACTTCATTATTTACCAGTGATGCATAGATTAGTACGTTCATTGAAATTTAAGTACAGACACAGGCATAGCTAACGAATAGGGTTACAAAAATCTTTATTTTTGTCGTAAATGTTTGTATAGAGGTCCTCATATGAAACTGATATATCTAAGTATAGGAAATGGCTGTTTATACAAAATGTATTTGATTTATTTCAAGTCTTTTCCATTAAGGTCAATTTACTAGGTTCACTTGAATAAATGACAATTCTATACCTTCTGACGTAGCTCCCCATCCAGTCACTACACAATATTTTCCATAGAAGTCACTACTTGGTAATAATGTCACACAAATAGGAGCCACAGCCACATTTTCAACAACGGGTGTCGATAGTCTTACAATGGCAATGTCATTGTGTAGCAGAAATGGTGAGTAGTCTGGGTGTGAAATAATTTGTTTTACATCATATGTCTTCTGATATTGTTCTAGTGCAGATCGTGAATGAACTCCAACATCTATTGTCCATTCTACAGGCAGAGTTCTGAAGAAGAAATTGTTCCATTGAAATATTCTTCCTCCCGAATGTATCATTAGCAGTACACCCATTCATAACCTATTTTATTAAAGTGTACTCTTTACCTCCATTGTGTACTTTCAGCGTTCATTATAATTGGAATTGTTCATATGCATATACTTCAAAATCTAGTACTTATGATAACCAAAGACTGGAGATATTTTTCATGTGTAAATGCCATTGAAAGTAGTATCGTTTTCATACAGAATTAGAAAATAAATTTACCCATCAATACACTGTGCAGCAGTCAACACGATTAGCTCCCCTGTAGAGTTTATTTTCACTAAGGAACCGCTACATGTCAATGGATGATCTCTAAATCTGAGAACAACCTAAAGGATAAGAGAAAAATAGTCTTCACTGTTCTTATTAAATAAATTCCAGAAAAGCAGTAAAGTAACTGAGCTACAACTCTGAAGACCAACTTCTGTAAAGAGTAACTTCATTGTGCAGTTGATTCTATTCACGTAATTTTCTTTTTGTCCTTCACGTGAATACGTAAATCAAAATTGATTTGTTCCAAGATGACAAGAAACTAGCAGAAAATTCACAATGCAATTCATTTTCGGATTACTTGTTTCTATGTTTACCACGAAACGGTTAAATAAATGTGTCTTCTCGTATTTTATACCGCATCGGTGGTCTCGTGGTAGCGTGTTCGCATCGAGTACGGGAGATCGTTGGTTAGGTCGGGTAAAACCAAAAAGTTCAAAATCGATATTTGCTGCTTCTCCGCTAAGCATGCAAAATTTAGGAGTAAGAACAAAGTTAAGTCGGCTCGGAGTTAGAATAATAGGTCAAGGTAGATGAACTGTTTACCTTGTGAACTAGCACGTATCAAAATCCGGCTCAGCGTGGCGCTCTATTAGTACAAGGCAAAGTTTATTTTAAGAATCGAATGCTTCTTTTTGTAAATTCATTGGGGTGTAAAAGCGTTGACCGAAGTACATTTTGTATTTTTTCATTCTAAAAATGTGCGCACGGTCAACGCTTTTACAACCCTGTAAAATTACTAAAAGAAGCATTCAATACTTATAATTACATTTTTTTTCTAGGATCATAAAAACACGATTTCTATCAAGTTTTTCTTTTATTTACATGTGCACTTTATTGTGGAAGCTCGTGTCATCATGCATGTTACATTCATTTTAAAATGAAGGTTACTTTCAGAATGACGCGAGATTGCTGTTAGCCAATCAAAATAACGTATTATAATGAAACATAAATGTAATGTAATTATACTCATATCACATTATCATACTCTCGTCCTGAATATGCAGTTAATTTGCCACTGGACGTTAAACAACAATCAAACCATGTATTAAAGCGGCTAATAAAGTAACGGGTGATTGACAAAATGTTGCGGTTTAACCAAATCAATAATTTGTTTCAAAAAATCTGAAGAACTAGACTATTCCTTTGTACGAAGAATTTAAACAATTTTATTGTCATATAAATCATATCATATGATTTGTGACTAAAACAAACAAAACATAGTATAATATAAATGACAAGAAGAAAACATGTATAATTATAATGAACAAACTTATTAATACATATATATACATATGTATATAATATAATAGTTTATAATTCAATTATGAGTCCCCTACACTTAGTACTAATGACTGCTTTATAAAGGAACCTATGCTCTCTACCTGTTTTTGTGTTGATGGGCTGAGAATTTTTTTTAATTTTAACATGATAATTTAGGTCATTAAAATTTTCAATGCAATCTGCCTCAATCATTTTTTTAATAAACGCTTGTTGAGTTTTTCCTGCAATAAAAATGAAAATGTTTCTCATCCTCAATTATATTGCAAGAGTGTCTCCCTTTTTAAATAAGTAAATTATGATCACTTAATCTAAACTTGGTTTATGTTTTTCGTAAATTGTTTGGCTATAAATTAGGCCGTTAGTTATCTCAATTGAATTGTTTTATATTTTTCTATTTGGTTTGTATTTTTACATTTTTCAATATGCTTGAAATCAATGTAACATGTGCTTCCTTTGCGATACTTTTTATACAAATATACCATGTGTAACATCCTGATGAGTCAAGATTTTTTTATCGTGTGAATGCCTCGTGCAATAAGGGATTTGTACAATTATTTAAGAAAACTTTAAACCTTTTCAATTCTAAAGGATAACATTAGGGGAGGGTGAGGGTACATTATATTGGGGCTTTCTTTACTAGTTCTTCTGAGCTATGGTTAAGAATACCTTTGCATTTAATTAGAAAACAATACCTAAAAATTAGAAGATCGTCTGCAAACATAAGCCAATCTACCTCAGAAGAAACTCATTTTAAAGGATACTATCATGTTTTAAGAGTTCACTTTCAATCTCATTTCTAAAAAGATAAAAGAAAGAGGGGCTTAAAGAATCTCCTTGTTTCACTCCTTTTGATATTTCAAAAAATTCTAAGTGCTGATTTTGCACTTTAATGGCTGATTTAGTTTTAATATATTGTTGTTTAATTATGTTATAAAAAAAATTTACGAACCCCGATGTTAAATTATTTATACAGAAGGGCTTTTTCTCCATACAGAGTCAAAAACCTTCCTACAAAGCGTGCATATATTTTCTTTTTATTCTTATGTAAATATTTATTTATTATTGACTGCAGCACAAAGATGAAAAACCATACTCACTTTTATGTTTTGTCCATATACTCTATTTGATTGATTTCAATTATTCAGAATGTTGTTACATATACATTTAAGCGATTTTTAAAAACATCAAGGTTTATACTTTCGAAAATATTTAATACCGATGTTTTTTTTATCTGAAACTTTGAATTATCGTGCTAAAAATATCGAGATAATGTAAGACTTATGCGTGAGAAGGTTTTTTCGTATTGCGTATGCATGACTTATCGCCATTGGGTGTTAAGCATACACAAATCTATCAATAATCAAGTGGGGTCCAATTGTGTTATCTTATGTTATCCATATATACACTAGTATTGGCCTGTGGTCCATCGACGTGGGTTTAACATACCTGCCAAGGCCAACTATGTGGAACGGCCTCTCTACCACCAATGATTTTAGAACTTTGTCCGTTCACAGGCCACGTGTGAGGTTGATATGTCTGTACACCACATTGACCTGACTGCTGTCCAATCGTGCCTAAAACCGATGTCATTCAAAATAAAATAAAAAACGGATAACGATAGAAAAACAATGGCACAAAAATGTTTGCACAATTAAATATTTTTCATATTAATGCAAACATTTATAATATTATTAACTTAATGTTTTTGGAATCTTTAGTTTTAAAGGCAATGTTTGTGTAAATTTAAGTGGCCCATTTCACTTACACGGAAGATTTTTATTTAATTGGTGTGGGTTCCACCCTTCTTTATCTTCGGTAAAAATGATTAACAATTGATTAGAACTCTAGGCCTAAACAACCTTGGAAGTTCATTCATCGCCACCAGGCTGAAATTGTATTCAAATATTATGTTTCCGATTTAAATTAAAATTATTTTAATTGTATAATTGTATTTAAATAGACAATTATACCAATATCATTTAGAAAAAATATAGCATCTGAATGGAAATTTATACAAGTTGTATGCTCTTATGGTTTTCTTTTCAGTTATAGCGTATTTATTTAGATGACTTCTCTGATGTGTGCTACATCATTCTCTCAATTTAAGGTCAGTTTGTATAATAAGATTTTAATAAGACGCATGTCAACTATAATATTCTTGGCCCCCATTGCTTTCTTCGTTATATTTTTCACCTTCAAACATTAATTGGCGCGGGGTCAATATACTGTTATTTACATATTAGACGGTACTAGTTACAAGAACTTTGGCTACATCAAATCAGGTACATCATATCTGAGAAACAGGCAATATATGCTCTCAATTTTAAAATCTATCCATAAATATTTTGTATTATTCAAAATTATCAGTCAAAAGATCTTCTACAAGGATCACCAGTTCTTCACCTTTCATTGATACCTGAATTACCTAAATGTATTCTACATAGTTTGATATTGACACCTTTATATATGCGTAGGAACTATTTTGTTTTGGATATGTACTGTTATGTTCTTTTTCACCGCACCGAGTTGGTGGTGTTACATCTTACATAGTCTACCCGAGTATTTGCCCTATATATACGTTATTTCCTGCCAAGATATCTAACATACAGTATATCTCGACGTTCCCCGTGGTTGTCTAAATGTTTCTATTGATTTTTGCACGCTTCAGTGTGATTTTCGGGCTAAATTATGACAGTACATGTTTGATTTCTTTGCCCCATATCCTATCTTTTCTATTTAGAAGAACATTACTTTCGACAAAACAAAAAATAACTAGTAAACATTATTGCATTCAAACGAAAAATATTGAAGTTTAAATGTGTGTGATTTTTTTTTATTGTAATGCCATAATATACACCACTGAGCTATTTGTAGGGTTACTATATGCTACCAATACCGGAAATACTTAGTTTGAAGTTGTAGATTTCCATGTTCAAAGTTGCGAACGGAGGAATACAACTTTAAAAAATTGTAAACGAAGAATTCATATTACTAAGGGCATGTAGTAGAGAGCGTTATATCAAGTCCTATAATTCTCTTTGAAATACTAACTAGATGACGTCTTTACACTAAATCTATTGGATGTTCGATTTGTACGGATTGATATTTTAGTCTTAGATACATGATGTTTTTAGTTGGCTTTGGTAACAGTAACTGCGAGTACTCTCAGATCTGTACCTTGTGTCTTTTTTGTTTTGAGGGATGTATAAATACCATGCCATGTCTTGTCTGTGTTTTTGTTGGATGTTTTTCTTCTTTGTATCGATCTGAATAGTTTAGCCCTTTTCAACTGATTTCTATAGTTTGTTCTTATTTTGTACTGTTACACCACTGTCCAAGGTTAAGGGAGGGTTGGCGACTTCAAACATGTTTAACCCCGCCACATTCTTTATGTTCCCGTCCCAAGCCAGGAACCTGTAGTTCGGTGGTTGTCGTTGGTTCACGCCTGCTGTCATATTTGTTTTTCGTAAATTGCTTTGTTATAAATTATGCCTTAGTTTTCTCAATTGAAATGTTTCACATTTTTCATGCCGGCGTCTTTTAGAGCCGACTGTACGGTATGGGTTTTTTCTTTGTTGAAGGTCGTACGGTTGCCTATAATTGCTTACATTCACTTCATTTGAACTTTGGTGGATAGTTGTCTCATTGACAATCATACCACATCTCCTTGGTCTCTGGTGGATAGTTGTCTCATTGACAATCATACCACATCTCCTTGGTCTCTGGTGGATAGTTGTCTCATTGACAATCATACCACATCTCCTTGGTCTCTGGTGGATAGTTGTCTCATTGACAATCATACCACATCTCCTTGGTCTCTGGTGGATAGTTGTCTCATTGACAATCATACCACATCTCCTTGGTCTCTGGTGGATAGTTGTCTCATTGACAATCATACCACATCTCCTTGGTCTCTGGTGGATAGTTGTCTCATTGACAATCATACCACATCTCCTTGGTCTCTGGTGGATAGTTGTCTCATTGACAATCATACCACATCTCCTTATTTTTATAGAGTATTTTCTGTAGTATTCCTTTAAAAAATAATTTGGAATAACATGTGTTTATTCGTATATTTTTTTCGCTTTTAGTATATATAAAAAAAAAAACAATAAAAAGTGTATAAAACACTTCAATAGATAATTTACCTTTCAAAATAGCTTGAATAATCACTCCTATAAACAGAAATGTTCTCATATCGTCAATATAAGTGAAGACTACACGATCTTATCTGTAAAGGTCAAATAATAACGATATTCTTGTTACAATACCGTTTTAACTAATGACACCATTGAGAATATAAAAAAAACTTACAAGGAACTTATTCAACCTTTAGTACTAGGAGTTTTATTTTTCGGGAATAGAATGTGTTATTGATGGCAACTTATAAATTAATTCACAACTTATCTCGACTCGAGGACAATACACTTAGAAAAAACGTAAAACACTCAAATGCATGAACAGTATTGACTCAAGGACAATACCCATAGGTCATATTTGTCTCTGACTGTTAATGACGTTTTTACACTTAATCCATTGGATGTTGGATGTGTGCTGATTGATACTTTAGTCTTAGATACATGTTTTTTTATTAGTTGTTATTGGCTTTGAACTATCTGTCAGTAACTGCGAGTACTCTCAGATCTGTACTTAATAGGTATAAGAAGATGTGGTATGAGTGCCAATGAGACAACTCTCCATCCAAGTCAAAATTTATAAAAGTAAACCATTATAGGTCAAAGTACGGTCTTCAACACGGAGCCTTGGCTCACACCGAAAAGCAAGCTATAAAGGGCCCCCAAAAAAATTACAAGTGTAAAACCATTCAAACGGGAAAACCAACTGTCTAATCTATATTAAAAACGAGAAACGAGAAACACTTATGAACCACATCAACAAACGACAACTACTGAACATCAGATTCCTGACTTAGGACAGGTGCAAACAATTGCAGCGGGTTTAAACGTTTTAATGGTACCAAACCTTCACCCTTATCTGAAACAATAGTGTAACATCACAACATAGAAAGACACACTATAAAATATCAATTGAAATGGCTTAACTCAATCAAAAGACATATTAATACCAGTGAACATACACTGAACAAATAAATTGATCTATGATACAATATAAATACAAAATAAATAAACTAAGGGAAGAATAATTAAAGTAACATGTTATATCGCTGTGAAAATAATTTTGTTGTTAGGTATACGTGTACAGTTCAAATGGAGAAAGGAAATATTTTCACAAAATAAATAATTTTGATGTTCATAGTACGAAGTGAAAATTTATAGTTATACCAAACACTTATCAAAGATGGTATATAGACCAGATATAACCCTGAATAACATTAAATAACAAAAAAGCAAGACAATTAGTATCAACAGGTCAAATAAACAAGAAAGTATGATTTGAGAGTACTCGCAGTTACTGACAGCTAGTTAAAAGCCAAAACAATTAATAATAAAAAATCATGCATCAGAGACTAATCAACTAAAACACATTCCAGGGATTTAGTATTTTAACGTCATGGGCAGTCAAAGAAGACATGACTAGTGCAATGCCAAAAATAAATGTGTCGACAGGCAGTAGGATAGTTAGGAGTTAACCTTTTTATAGATCAAAATGAACGTGGGTGTGTCTTTATACATCCCGTTTGAAAAGAATACAAATTTAGTTATGTTTTAATTTGCTGATGACAAAATCGATATTAGTGCCAATGTTAACTATATTCAAAGATCTTATTACAACATTGGTAAGATAACCTTTACTAATAAATTTGTTTAAAGGTTCGATAAGTTTACACGGATCACATAGTGATTTCCGCGTTTTAAGTACAATATTACCGTAAAATTTAGGATGTGAAATACCGTTTTTAATCAGTTTTCTACAGGTACAGCCAAATTTACTAATCAAATCTTTGTATCTATGAAAGAATTTATTAAAAGTTTTACGTAATTTATGGTAACGAAATCCCTGACTTCATAATTTACCAGTGATGTATTGATTACGTTCGTTAAAATCTATGACATCACTACACAAACGGGCATAACGAACGAGTTGGGATATATAAACACCGTATGATGGAGCCAAAGGAACATCGCCGTCTAAAAAAGGAAAATTAACAATAGAGAATGAAAAGTCGTCTCTTTTGTCGTAAATTGTAGTATGGAGTTTTCCTTTAGAGATTGAAATGTCCAAATCTAGAAAACGACAACTACTGCTGTTTATGTTAGATTTAGTTAAAGTAAGTTCTTTTGGGTAAATTTCGGTGGTATATTTAGAGAACTCTGGATTATTTTACGAAAAATATCATCTAAATAACGGAAGGTATTGTTAAATGTATCAACCAAATGTAACAATGACGTGTCTTTACTGAGTTTGGTCATAAACTGAGATTCATAGCAATACAGGAATAAATCTGCTATTAAAGGGGCGCAGTTAGTGCCCATAGGAATACCTATTAATAATTGTTTTTGTGTAGGGATGTATGAATAGCCTGCCACATCCTGTCTGTGTTTGTGTGATCTGATGAGTTAAGCCCTTATTAACTGATTTTTATAGTTTGTTCATATGTTGTACTGTTACACCACTGTCCCAGGTTAGGGGAAGGGTTTGGCGCCGGCTAACATATTTAACCCTGCCTTATTTAGTATTTGCCTGTCCCAAGTCAGGATCCTGTAATTCAATGGTTGTCCTTTGTTGCTGTATATCATATTTTCGGGGCCTTTTACAGCTGACTATGTGGTATTGGTTTTGCTCATTGTTGAAGGCCGTACGGTGACCTATAGTTGTGAACTTCTATGTCATTTGGTCTCTGGTGGAGAGTCATCTCATTGGCAATTATCCAACATCTTCTTATTTTATATATACGGAAATCCGCATCCTTGAGGCGGACTTCGGCTGGCCCCTAAACAAAAATGTGTACTAGTTCAATAAAAATGGATGTCACACTAAACTCCAAAACATATAAATGAACTAAAATTATAAAACATACAGGACTTACAAAGGCCAGAGGCTCCTGACTTGGGACAGGCGCAAAAATGCGGCGGGGCTAAACATGTTTTGTGAGATCTCAACCCTCCCGCTATACCTCTAGCCAATGTAGAATAAACAAACATACAGCAATACGCACAGTTAAACTCAGTTTAAAAGAAGTCCGAGTCCGATGTCAGAATAAGTAACAAAAGAAACTAAGCAAAATGACAATGATACATAAATTAACAAAGGACTACTGTTTATGATGGATGAATGGATAGATGGATGGATGGATGATGGATGGATGATTAACGTCCAGCAGCAAATTAAATGCATATTCAGGACGAGAACATGATAATATTGTATGAATATAAACCCTGTATTGTACTAGACCGACACGCCGAGCCAGATTTTTTTTACAGTGCTAGTTCACAAGGTACCAGTCCGCATGAAGACATTCACACTATCCGGACACATTATTCTGACTCCGAACCGACCAGTCTTTGCTCTTACTCCCAAATGCCGCGTGCTGAGCGGAAAGCAGCAAATTTCAATTCTAAAGTCTTTGGTTTGACCCGACAGGGGATCGACTCCACGAACTCCCGCACTCGAGGCGACAACGCTAAAATGACACCACTAGTATAATAATAAAAAAAAGAAAGACAAAATAGAACAATTCTGAAAGATATGTTAAAACCAGCATAACAGCATTATTCGCTAATCAACCAAACTTTATTTATCATCCACGTTGTCAAAACGCACAAAAACACATTTTACTAGTTGTATGTCAGATAAATAAGATCAGAACTAATACGATATCGACCTAGGTTAATATATGGGAAGCTCATATGAAAACAAAAGGCACATAAACACTTATTTAATTATTGTCATTGTTTGTTTAATCACTATCAATTTTATAAACTCATACACTGTATAAGAATTTGAATTGTAATATCGCTTGAAACGTTTTTATACGTCTGTTGTTTCATTATTTATCCAGTCAAGAAATTTATGTACATTTGAATACACAGCCGGAAATCCTTCTCTGGCACATCCAAATCCCCAGCTCACAATACCTGTAAAATTATGTAAATACTCTATGATAAATATTTTACTGATATTTATTATTCACAGTAAGATACAATTAATATCTTCTTCATTAAAATTAAAAAGGAAACACTCGTATTTGACTGGTAGAGGACTCGGTGGCCAAGTGATCCATATAGTCGAACTACTGTATCACTAGCCTTTCAATACTGAGGTTGTGAGTTCGAATCCCACACGTGGCAGGTTCGGGCACTCCGGCTACCTCCGCCATTAAGAACTGACCGCCACGAAATAGCACAATAGGGCTGAAAGTGGCGTTAAACACAAATAAATCAATCAATCAATCAATCAAGTTAATTAAGTTAATTAAGTACTTAGGCATGGTGGCCGTGTGAGTAAGTCATCTACTGATCACCAGAATGTCAACACTGAGGTTGTGGGTTCAAACTCTGCACGAGGAAGGTGCGTTCGGCTCCAATCTTAATTGACTAGGAATATCAATTTTCCTGTCAAAGTTCGGTGGTTCTCTCCGGGTACTCCACCATATAGCCAATAGTGCTAAAAGTAGCATTAAACACCAACAATCAATCAATCAATTACAAGTATGAAATTATTACAGATGCGTTAAAAAGATGCCGTGCTCCTACAGGATTGTAAAAATCTGCTGTGAAATTGACAACACATGGATGGTGTTATTTACTTAGTACACATATATTTACATACCGACCAAATCCCATTGTCCTCGGCTATTTTTACAGGCTAATGGTCCACCATTATCTCCCTATCAAAACAGAGAAATTATAATACAATGATAATACAACACGTCTTCTGGTAACCTTTTATAAGGGAGCTACCATTTGACTTTTATGGGGGGGTGGGGGCTAGGATGAAAAATTTTGTCCTGCATTTTTTTTTAGTTGTAATCTCTGTCCTGCCTTTTTATTTTTCACTCTGTTCGGTCCTGCCTTTTTTTTTATAAAGTTTATCCTGACTTTTTTTTACCTAAATTGTCATCCTGACTTTTTTTTTTTTGGAAGTGTCTCATCCTGCCTTTTTTTTACTCAAAAATCCTGTCCTGCCTATTTTTTTCAAATTTCATCCTAGTCCCCCCATAAATATCAAATGGTAGCTCCCTAAGTTAAAATATCATTTAAAAACAATAACAAAAAAACACACAACATAGTTACACTCTTTTAAGACATTTATAAGTCTTAGACAAAAAATTCAAAGTTTGGATCTGTTTCAGATATATGTCATTATAGACAAACCGCATAAGTCAGCACACTTAATCGTACAAGGTATATATGTACTTATGCAATCGACCTATATTGTTTCGTAAAGAAAAGGCCTTGAATATACCCAACAACAATGACTTGTTCTTTTTTTACTAGTTTTATCTACATGACGGTATAAGTATAAAGGTGATTGATGGACGTTTTTTGTTTGCTTTGATTCTGGAAGTGTTTTTACCCCCCCCCCCCCCCATTCATCAGCAAAATTTATTCTTACACAGTTCACATACACTTACATCCAAATATCTTGTAAGTTAAACATTTATAGTGATTTCAATGTAATTTTACTGATGTTAAAGCATTTAATTCCGTCCCTCTCCGTGATCGACTCTCCCATTCTTTAACATAACTCAGAATGGTAGAGCAGCGGAACATAAAGACTGAATTATTGGGGTGCTCCTATTTGGAAGAAATTCTATATACTATAGTAATCAATCGTATCACTTACCGCACACGCTCCTTCTCCTCCCTGCAGGTAACCAGCACACATCATGCTTTCATCATTATAGGCACCGCCTACATTTGTTAAACACTGTGTATCAGTTAAAACTGGTTTGTAAACTTCTTTGAGTCTATCTGAAGGTTCGCCACCTAGTAAGCAAACAATTTAAACGAGATATAGTCATAACATGCATACATATATCTTACAAAGTCTACCCGAATTATTTTGCAAAGAATTTCGTTCAAACCGGTGCTTGTGGACCGTAAGGACGTCTTAAACATGCATGCAGTGAGGTGAGAGTTGTTTTTGCTCCGTGTTGAAGGCCTCATTGTAGATTTGAGATGAAGAACTGTTCCTTTGTTTTTTATTGTTTTTTACAGTGTGTGTACTGATTTTGTGTCATGGATGGATACCCCATATCCTTTGTTGTTCTATTATATCTGTATCCGAAAAGGGAGGAAATATGATAAGGCCACTTGTTTGGCACCGTGAATTCAAAAATAAAAAAAATATGATATATTAATCAAAAAAATATCTTTCTGATGTTCACAAGAAACTCTGTCAGATATCAATATTTTATATTTTTGAATTTCGACCTATATATTTGCATTTATTGTTTTAGTGTTATTTATTTAGGGTGAAGGTTGGCGCCTATTAAAACGTTTAAACCCGCTGCATTTGTTTGCACCTGTCCTAAGTCAGGAACCTGATGTTCAGTGGTTGTCGTTTGTTGATGTGGTTCATAAGTGTTTCTCGTTTCTCGTTTTTTTTATATAGGTTAGACCGTTGGTTTTCCTGTTTGAATGGTTTTACACTAGTCATTTTTGGGGCCCTTTATAGCTTGCTGTTCGATGTGAGCCAAGGCTCCGTGTTGAAGGCCGTACTTTGACCTATAATGGTTTACTTTTACAAATTGTGACTTGGATGGAGAGTTGTCTCATTGGCACTCATACCACATCTTCTTATGTCTATTAAACGACATACTGCGAAAACTGACAAAAAATAGTTTTATTTATAGAGCTTGTCATTAATATTTAAATATGAGTTGAAGGCGAACCCTAAAAGTTAAGACGTGTGTTACAAAATGTATATTACAAAGATGTTCAATATTTCCAGACTATGTGTAAATTTGACATTTTTCGGACAATTTCAACATCTGTATGGTGTCACAGTGACATCACAGCTGACATTTATTTTTCCAAATAGAGATACAAAATTTGAGAAAATCAAGAAATACTAGTAATAATAGTCATAGTTTGTAGCCATGTTAGCTTATCAAATGAGTCAATATTTTTATTTTCTTAACACCTTTCATCTTATTCATGGTAATATGGTAAAGTTCAGACCGTATTTGCTCAATCTTGAATTTTGGACCAAATAATCATAGTGGCATCATTTTAAAGAGAGTTTACACCTGATCACCACCCGGTTAATTCCAATAGAGTAGACCGAAATACGTTGTGTACATAAATATCTGTTCAAGTACTTCTTACACTAAGTAGAAGTTTCATACGATTCCGATATTTTGATTGGCCGATGCATTCCAAAACTTATATTTTATTTCCGAATATAATGCAACATATATAACTAGACGAACGTGTCATAAATGCATGGACAAATACACGAAAGGCTTGATTTAAGTCGTAATTTCACGGTTGTAGCATTAACATGTAATTATAAGAATAGACTATTTTCATATTACCGACTTTTGACTCCGGATTATATGATTTGTCGACTGGTTACCTTGGACATCATGGTACTCGGTCTAGTAAGAGCAACCAAAATAAGTAAAATCAAACATATAATCGGTGTAATTTGAGGGGAAAGTTTATTTTTTTCCGATGATTTTGTATTGAAAAAAAAATGTTAAGCAGGTAATTTCCCCCCAAAATTGTACCGATTGAACGCTTGGTTTTACTTCTTTAGCTTGCTCTTACCTGACTTGGTACCATGATGTCCAAGGTAACCAGTCGACAAATTATATAATCCGGAGTCAAAAGTCGGTAATATGAAAATAGTCTATTGAATGCCTCTTTTTTGTAATTACATAGAGTTGTAAAATCGTTGAACCTGTGCATTTTTTTTAGTATGCAGCGCTTCATATATACAAAATGAGCTTCGGTCAACGCTTTGACTTCCCCCCAAAATAAAAAAATAAAGAATTATATAAGTCTTATATAAAAAGTTTCATATTTTGTCGAACAAAATTGAAAAAATGTAAACCATTAAACTAAAAATTAATCCTAGGAAGAGTACCTTCAACTGTTGCACCCCACCCAGTGACAACACAGTCTTGTCCCCAGAAATCACTGCTTGGCAATGTAGTAACACAAATTGGATAAGCGGTATTTCCTTCTGCTATTGGCTGAGACAATTTCATGATAGCTACGTCATTTTCAAGATAAAATGGACTGTAATTCTGATGAACTATGAACTCCCTAACATTATAAGTTTTCTGTTCAGGTTCTAATGCTGATCTAGAGTGGACTCCTACGTCTACTTTCCAATCTGCTGCAACTGATCTACAGCATATACAATATGAAATTTATATATATGTGTCAACCGAAACGAAAATCAAATGATCCTGCAATTTTTTTGTATACAATTTCATTACATAGAAGTTGCATAAGATTCCGAAATTTTTATTGGTCGAGGCATTCCAAAATTTTTCGTATAAAATGCAAAATCTATGACTGCACGGCCTCTCTGTGAGAACGTCAAAACAATGCACAGAAAACCAAACGAAAGGCTTGATTAAACTCTTAATTCTAGTTGTAGCATTTAACATTTAGGCATTTAACATTTAGTTATTATAATAAGTTTTTTTGGGGTACTTTTATAGGTTTGTAAAAGCGTTGAAAGTGTGCACATTTTTAGTATGAAGCGCTTTTGACTGTTGATATTTAGAAGTTTCATTTACTTTAGTATAGTGGCAAGATGTTTATATGCAACAACTTACCCATCAACGCACTGAGCACCAGTAAGAACAAATAGACGACCAGATTGTGCTCTTACCAATGACCCACCGCACGTCAGAGGATTATCTCTAAATCGTAAATCTACCTACAATTTATAAAAACAATTCTACATTATTATCAAATCACACACACTGCATTGTCTCTGTAAAAAAATATACCAATAAACCGTCAAGTAAAGGTTTATGTTGCCATAATAGTTGGAATACAACTTCTTAGTATATCATGTAAGTAGACATACATGTATTCCTAATTCAATTATATTTTGTACTTTTTAAAGATTGGGAATATAAACAAAATAAGATGTAGACATATATTTTTGATCAATGAAAGAAATGAAAACATGATAAAAATTCCGAAGTCTGTATTTAAAGGCTTGACTATTACATTTATGATTTTATCTACACAGGAAAAATTGCAACATATGTTTTTCATATGTTTTCCATATGTTTTTCATATGTTCGAAAACATATGTTTTCATGTCGGGCCTAAACATATGTTTACATATGTTTTCAAACATATGAAAAACATATGTTAAACATATGAAAACATATGGTGCAATTTTTCCTATGTAGAAAAAGAAAATAACTTTTTTGCTATCTGTACTTACAAATGTAACACCGTGTGATTTAGAAAAAGTATATACCTGCCATGGCCAACTGTGGGGTACTGCTTCCCTACCACCGACTATCCGTGAGCTCGGCAGTGGATACGTGTGAGGTGCATACGTCTGATTCCCGCAATTACTCTGTCCTGTGTGTAAAACATTGAAAATCGTTAAATATTTTTTTAAACCACAAAAGGAGAAATGCCGTCTGATTATTTTTCAATGTACACAATAAATAAAAAGCTTTCATACTTGATATTTTCCATCATGTTATTTTCTGAACGATAAATTTGATTTACAATTATTGCGGGAGTTATAGGACTTCGAAGCATGTGATCTCGTAAATTCATCTCGATGTTAGGTCACCGTGGTTTTTAAATTGATACCTTTAAATGGACACAAAGAAGACTATTTTAAAGCACAAAGCAGTACACAGAAGAATCTTATTTCCCAAAATCTCGGAGGTAATTACAAAATGTTAAAACTGTGATGATAATGTTAATCTGTGTAGCTGTCGTACATGTATAACATACGGTATCATTTCAACAATTACGTTCGTCAGTTACACATCGGCCGGGGTATTTCGTCAGTTACACATCGGCCGGGGTATTTCGTTGCGACATTGCGATCGTCCTTACCTTTAACTTAGGATTAGATATAGATGCAGTCTAAATTTATGAGTCCTTGATGTATTTATTTCGGGTTTTTTTTTTACCTTGACCTCACATGATCGGAACATATCAAACCGGCGCACATTGATGATACATTTTTGTGTATCCAAATTTCTTTTAAACATAGATAATACAAAATGACGCGTAGAAATTAATTTTAACATAAAATTCTATATAATGCATATTTAGTCAATGTTAATTTTAATGTAGACAAAATAAATTTTAATTGACAAAAGATAAACTGAACACCATTTAATTACTACTCTTTGTGTTTCATAAAAAGGCTAAAAATTCGATAAACATACCATTTACCAATGTAAATCCTAAAATAATTAGTACTAGCGGCCTCATCTTGTTAGTGGTTCGACTATGTACCTGAATAAGACCACTGCCTTATCTTTATTATCACAAGTAACACGTATAGAGGCTATAAGGGGCAAATATTTAAAATTATCACGTTTTTTTAAATTTGTATAGTAATCAAACAAGGTTATAACCCCAGTTGTCTGTTTAAGGACTATGTTGTAATCGTTACCTAGCGGAGCGAAACTTCAGTATGATAGACTTTAGGTACCCCGGAAGGATAACCAGTTCCCGTTGAACATGTTAAATGACACAAAGTGCAGTATAATACTTTCAACAGGTTCAGCATTTTTCAAATCTTGCTGTCTTTCCATTTACAAAAGTTATAAAATAAAATCATGATAGTGTTCACGGCACGGTATTATGATTTGAATGACTTTTATGGAGTATCTGTGTCGCAAATTACCACTTGTCGTAGCCCGGCAATCGGTGATGATGGGTGTGTTTAACGACCATGACTGGCTGTACAGCCCTCGCACGGTCGGTAAAATCGGCAATCCTCGGGTAAATACTCTTTCTTTCGGAATCGGTCGAGTTTTTACTCAAGTGTTATTGTTGATACAACCCCGTTCCTTTTCAGAGATTGCGTCATCAACAAAACCGATTTCCATCCGATTTATACTTGCAATGAACAACAAAACGGGTGCCACTAGTTTTGCAGAACTGGTGACCTTTCCGGAACATGATATCCTCACATATTTACAAATTGAAAATTCCTACATAGCATATGACCTTATTCTAAAATATAGAAAAATCATTTACTTGCAAACCCCCTGTATGGAAATCAATGAATAACTGTCAATCTTAAAAACCACATTAATCGAACATACCAGAAAAGCACTGGGAAGTCAACAATATTTCTTAGTTTGGATATATATATTTACCTATGACCTTGTAACATTAACAGGTGAATTATCAGTGAAGACGTCACAATTCCTTGACAATCTGTAAATGAGATAAATTAACTCTGGAAAAAAGAAACGAAAAAGGTTCACAATTAATAAATGAATATTTAATAACTAAATACTTAAGCAATAAGTTATCAAAATACGAGAAACTGGAGGTTATATCACCCGTGAAACTACTATGTATACTTAGGTGTTAAACATGCATTTGTAGATGTAAAATGTGTTTTGTTTCCGTAAAGCAATATATGAACTGGTAACGGTATTTTTATACTGTTTGTATTTGGTACCCTTTTCGTGTTTTTGTGTGTAAAACTTTTGAAACAAAAATGATTGAACAGATAAGTGTATATATGTGTAGATGTTCCTTTGCCATTTGTTCAAAATATAAGATTTAAATAGTTTTAATTATTGGAGTTTCCTTTCCTTTCCTCCATTCCGTGTGAACATAGTTTTGTATCTTGTGCCAATAATGTTGAAATTAAGGTACCGTCCCGCCCACCAAGGACCAACTTCTGATGAAAAAAGGTATTATATGTTTTGAAGTAAAGCAACCCGTCATAAAAGATGATTGCTTTAACCGAAAATTTGCAGATCCCATTTATCAAAACCAGTTTCCATAGATTTCTAACACATCTAGACGACAATACTATGGTTATCATAATGCAAGTTTGATTTAGAAGTGTATAAGTGAATAAAATCTCAAAGGAAAAGATTCATTTTTCAAAACTTCCAACTTAAAATTACCCATTATGATGTGGTTCATAAAAAAATAAATAAGATAGTTCATGTTTGCTAAAGAAATATACGGAGAGGAAGACATTCGTGCCTCGTATTGTTTACATTTGTTTGTCAATGCCATGCTGAATATTGATACATATGGAAATGTAGATATTTATTTTTTTTTGCAGTCAGATTGTATAAAGCTTTATCTATTCTGTTTAGTGTCATATGCAAGAAAGTTGAATAACCAACAAGCAATCAATCAACTGAAAACAATTTGTTATGGCATAAGGATATTTGCCCCCTTTCTGAATGTGATCTTTCCATTTTACAAAAGTATACTTCAACATAATTTAATCAGCTCTAATAGTTTACAAGCTGTATAAATAGACCACTAGTTGCAAATATAATTGTATTTTACATCTTATTCCTATAACTTCCTTTTGGTTGATGAAAATGCTGGTAAAGAGGAGTCCCTGATGGTATCACCTGCGACGAAGTCAGTGTTTTTGTGCTGGCAATATATATTTATGATAGTTGAGAAATTTTCAATTGACAAAAAGACTATTCAATTCAAATATAACCCTCTCAATGCAAAGCTGTGATTTTGGTTTCTGTATTTTATGTGTTATTTATTTAATCTCCTCTTTTAAACTTTAAATTTGACACCTTTTTCAATTCACTGTTTAAAAAACATTTACCAAAATGTTGTGAATGGCTTTCCACTTCATGTATGAGTATTTCAATATCAAAGTGCAACCTGAATTATAACAAACACTTATATTCAAATATACAAGTGGTTTTCAGCGAGGCAAATATGCTTATGATGTACTGACATGATTTGATAAGCATTATGTTTTCTTTATTGAAAAGTAAAAAAATAAAATAAATGAGAGTTCAAATTTAAACGAAAATATAGTAGGGCACGTTATCATTTGATAACAGATTGTCGGATAGTATAACAGTTCAAAATTTACTGTAATTACAAAATAAATGTTTTAATCTTAACAAATATTCACTGCAGAGACATATATACAAACATATATATATATATTACATGTATATGTTACAGGCATTTTCTAAATTTAGGCATTTTGCAAAATGAATGAATTTTCAGGCAATTTATAAAATGCCTAACCTTGACAGGCATTATATAAAATGACTAAAAATACCTAGTCATTTTGTAAAATGACTGAAATTTTGAAACAAAATTCAACAAATTGCCTGTTAAGTTTCAGGCAATTTGCAGAAAAAGGATATCATTGACAAAAAGTGGACAAAAACACAACATCTTGTAAAGAAAATAACTATTGGTTCGGTAGAATTAATGTATTCTTCAAAAACCAGCTGGAAAAGTTTGTAATAATATGTTCTTTTTAGTGAAACTACGTTAAGTATGTACTCACTCTGTATTTTAGATAGTAAATTTATGATTATTTTGTCAAAATGGCAGAAGGGCAATTTGTTCTTTTAATAGAACAAAATTTGCAAACGAATTTTAAGAAAATCCAGATTCAAAACAGTGAAGTGAAACATATGAAGCAGAGAAAAAGAAGTTTGTTTTAATTGACCGATTGGTTTGTTTGCTTTCAGTAGCAAATACTTCATGCATTTTTAAGACGAGAAATTTGGTTATAATTCATATGGGTTATTTCTGCAGTGAATTAACCTGGATAAAGGACAGGAATTTCGACTGCCGCTTGAAATGAAGGTATTTTAGATAGGGATAGAAAATTCCACATGCAGAACGGCCAAAGAGTTCTTAACGTGCAGAGAGTGTTGCACTTTACACAATACACAATGTTGACTGCTGTACCCCTATTTTTGACATTTTTACCTATTGTGTCTGTTTGTTTTGTTCACGCATCGTTGTCAATATAATGGAATTTGATGCGACTGTCATACAAGTGAGAGGTTTAGCTAGCTATAAAACCAGGTTCAATCCACCATTTTCTACATAAGAAAGTGCCTGTACCAAGTCAGGAATATGACAGTTGTTATCCATTCGTTTGGTGTGTTTGGTTTTTTTTTTATTTTGCCATTTGATTGGGGACTTTCCTTTTTGAATTTTCCTCGGAGTTCAGTATTTTTGTGATTTTACTTTTTACTAACATGCGGCAATATATTTAATGTCCCCATTCAGAAAGAATGAGAATGTATACATCCACATCCAAACAAATTCCCCTCTATAGCATGGGTTTCGCCATACAAGGCCGTATTTGGTTGTGATGCAAAGATATGAGTATCTTCATCTTCACTGCCTCAAGGAAATTCACGGGTCTTTGCAATCTAATGAATTAATAAGACAGTAGTTAACTGTGGTTAAAATCTCGAAAATTGACCAAGAAGAGACAAATAACGGTGCATTGACAGGGTAAGCGTCTCCTGTTATAGCTGCATCACCCGTCATGGGCAGATCTGCTTCAGTCCGTTAAAACCTATAAGCCAAAAGATGCGTGTCAAACTAATCATGATAATGTACTTTGAATCTTTTGAGAACACATGAAAAAGAAGATATTCATGTGTGACGTGTGTGCTTATTGCGAAACCCAATGTTATCGAACGTTAAGTGTTTTATCAGAAAAGGTAATGAAAGAGCTAAATGTGTCATGATCCAAATGTGGTCGAAGTGCTAAAACCAGATTTGACGCCAAACAATGTATTTGCAAAAAATAGGACAAATATTGTGTAACAGTTCTGTCATCCAAACATTTTAAGAAATAACAAATAATTGTCGAGTTCTGTGCTTGTGTGAATTTGGAATAATTCAGTAAAACTTATTTTTGATTATTAAAACTCTTAAATTGCAAGCTTAAACATTCAGTAATTATCATAAATAAAACTGCTCTGTTGTTCAAAGCTCTCAATTGTTTTTTTAACATTTCATTCTATAAAATAATTTCAGGCATTTTGTAAAATGCATAGAAAAATTAGTCATTATGTAAAATGCCTGAATCTTGCAGGCATTTTAGAAAATGCCTAAAGTTTTAAGGCATTTTACAAAATGCCTAAATTTAGAAAATGCCTGTAACATATATATGTCTCTGGTATTATAATGTTTTGCAAAGTAAACTATTGAAGACTCCGTTTTTTCCCCATATCTTTAAAGATATTTCCGCTCGAGGTGTCAACGTACATTTGTCACGCATAACAGAAGTTCCAATGGAAACTTTGTTTTAAAAAATGTCGTAATATCTGTTCCTACTGGAACTTCTATTATCAATGAACTACCATTTCATAACAATTGTGCATTGCTAGTAAACATACAAAATCGGTGCCAGCGTTATTTATTTAATATATGTAGACAGGAAATGCAGAAAAAAAAAAAAATTTAAATTACAATGATTAAGTTTGTTTTAAAAATCCTCATATGCGGATTAAACAATAGCTTGGGTGATGGCTTCTCTGTTTAATCTAAGTTATTTTATTCATAAAACACCAAAAACTACCTGAAAATGGTTAAAACAACAAGCGGGTTATTGTTTATAATTAATACCATATTTTCATTAAATCGGATACCCAATCAAACTTAATAAAACATTGAGAAAACTTCAAAACAGCAAACAACTGATCATTTTTTTTATTGTGTATTCTAACTGCGTATTTACATATGCGCTGGGCTCTTCCGCCATTATGATGTCTTTTTCATATGATCCATATGATCTATGATGAATAATAAAATTATGCTGAATCTTCAATGTTCTTGTATATAAATTATTTCCATTAATTGCGTGAACCCCTGAGGATGTACTTGTAGTCTTTCGGAATCCCGGAAATCTCTACTGTCTTTTTGGAATACATCTGTTCTTTTCTTTGGCCACCTGGGGCATTAGGAATACGGCTTCATTCGGATTTCACCTGCGTAATAGGTAATCAATTGATCAAATGAATATGCATTAGCGTTACAAAGTTGCTATAGAGATGAGGCTAATCGAGACTGGTTGATATTCTACATTCAGTAGTGAATTAGATTAGAGTCGCATATGCTAGAAATACAATTTGTGTTCACATTGGAGATTAGATTTTAAGCGAAAAAAGTGACCGTCAAGGGATAGGGCGTTTTACAGATTTTAAATCGGAGCCATTATAGCGAAATTAAAAAGAGCAAAGTCCATTTAAGCAGCAATTACAATTCTTCGTCCTGGAAAGATGTGAACAAACAGGGAGTTTCTAAAATTGTTCCTATGTATTATATTTATGATTATGTAATAAAATAAGAGATACGTATGTTAATATTTTCAGAGAAATGTGTGAGTTTTCCGAGGAACTGAGCGTGCACGCTACCGTCTCCAAAAAATAAAATTGTAAATTGCAAAGTCCATTCATTTGTTTTTGGTATGTGAAACCCCTAAATATAAAGCCCAGCGAATTTAGAGGATCCAGGTAACAGAGACCTATTGTGTTTTGGCGAACAAAGAGACGATTTCGTTACAAATTAGGAGATACAAAAACGTTGTATTCATAAGCAAAAAATAGTACAACTACGTAACAAATTATTTTTATTAAAATTAATATCTTTATTCAATGGACAGGATGTCTCAAAAACATGGTTTTTAAATTGCGTACTGTACATGAGCTATACTGCATTTGGCCTTGTTACACAACTGTATAAAAATAACAACTTCATTTTCTTTCGATTAATTTACAAAAAGGATTAAATATGAAATTAAATAGTAGGGTGGTATTAAATTTGTTTGAACAAACTGATTTAAATATAAAGTTGATATTTTAAACTGTTTCTATTTTTGGATTTGTTGCCTGTGGTATAAATAAATTGAGATCAAACATATCCTGAATATAATAGCCAATGATCAAACCATAGTTATTGGTTTTCTAAAATTGTTTTAGTTTGGGATTAACAAGTAAAAATACAGATTAGGGTATTGAACTATTTTCAAACTGGCTACAAAAAACAAATAATTTTATGAAACACAATTAATTTCATTTAACTTCTTCAAACCAAAACTGTTTTCACATTTTACATTTCGTTTTCTAGCCAGGAAGCAACCTCTTATTTTCAAAACATCACCTTAAAATGTAACATCCAGTGGTTGCATACTATTTTGCATTTTTGCATGTTGTAATGTTATCTTTCAGAAACAATTTCTTTAACCAGAATTATGCCCAACATTTAACAGCAGCTACATTAAGAATCCATGTAAGTTTTGTGCATCTTATATAAAAAAATAGGTAAAATCATGGATCTTTATATATCAATTATCTGATCTTTCAAACCAAACATGCAATTAGGTTCACGATTGCATTTCTTTTTTTTTTACACAAACGTATAAAGACATTAATCACACAACATGGATCAATGAATATCTGGAGCGTGGTTAAAATAGACGAACCAAACAAAAGAATGTAAAAGTAATACGTTGTTAGTGGTGGATAGATGAAATACAAACATCAACATGGAGAATTTAGAACCGTTTGTAAGTCGGAATGACCTAGATTTATATAATATTTTATTTAAACATATTCTTCCTTTACCGGTGATGTACGGTACACATCCAGCTGACAGAGCGATGTGGAACACGAACCGTTACTACAGAGCCGAAACTGACAAAAACTATCCGGAAATAGCCGAGTTTTTGTGGGCTGGTAGTAAGCATGAAGGACTATTTGTGCCTATATCAGAAAATAAGCCTAACAGTTTTGTGTATCTGATGTCTGACATTGACCTTATCACTGTTTTGAATGGCTTCATTGCAGACGACAGGATCCATCCATCCACTCAGCCACCACACATTGAAATGTTAAATATCAGATCTGCGTCACATGCCGGATATATAAGACTTTCTTCTAAAGCAAATGAAATATTCAGCATGAGGTATGACAGTGATTGCTCCGGGGCTGTTCATTTTATTCGAAATAATACTATTTCAGGCAGAAAAATATTACCTATGGAAGAAATTATTCATAAAAAAATATGTCCACTAATTTCTTACACTGAAAAGTTTGTACATGGTCCTGCTTTGTGCTACAGAGTCAAAACGGAACATCTATCGGGAGACACGAAGAAAGGTGTGTCGTCAGGTTCTGATATTGATGTTGTGCTTGCCCTCAAGATGAGCTCTTGGCCTCTAACAGCGAAAGAGTGGGTTGACAGGCGTAGAAACAGCAGATGGCCGTCAAAAGAGTTAATTGAACACATTATTAAATCTGACATGTATATAGTTTCTGTTGGACATCCAGATAGCGACGAATCTGAAAATGAATGGAGGTATTCATTTACTATGCCAGAGAAATGTCTCGGACAGAGTCTCGGTGTGTTTCAAAGAGCTTGCTATTGTTTAGCAAAGATATTATTGAAATCTGCAATTCCAAACAGCGAAGGCATTTCTTCTTATTTCTTGAAAACATTGCTATTCTGGGTTTGCGAGGAAATACCAGAAGAAGAATGGAAAACAGATAAAATGGGATATTTTGTGATGTTGTTGATCTATCGTTTGAAATGTTGTCTGCAGAAAAAAGAATTACGACATTATTTCATACCGGAAAACAATATGATGGATCATATTCAGCCAAAAATACTAACCGATGCCATCAAACAACTTTCAGTCTTGCTCGAAGATCCTTTATCCCTCTTATTCAGATTTACAGAACAAACTAAATACTATGGATTTTACATACATCCTCCGAATGAAATGTATCAGCCACTTATATCTCTATTCAAAGAAAGATATTGCGCAGTTCAGGTAGAGGTGCTTAATCCAGTTTTAAACGGTTTGTTGTGGGAATTTGTGCGACATTATTGTTCGTGGTTAAAGAAAGACATCGCTCCACCAGGTGATAGTATTACTCGTCCATTTGCAGAGATGAAATTTAGACTTTTATTAAACACAGCAAAGGATATTCAAGAAACCGAGATTTCTAAACCTTTTGATGAAATCATCGAGTTTATCGCAAAAGAAATACGAAATTACAACGTTGGCAATGCCACTGAATTTAAATGTTTCGCAAAAAGCAACGCAAAGATTTTCTAAATCTACAAAAATTAATGTAGTTATTATTAGGTTATTGAAGACATCTTTTGCTTATTTTTTCAATTGAAAATAGTTTTAAATTTACTCACATTATTTTTGTTCCTAGTCGTTTATAAAACATTTGCATTTAAGAGAATCTGATAAATATTCAAAATAAACAGCTGATGTCATTTTAAACAATGGATTTAAACTAATGGCGACAGTGATAATTTCTATTTACATGTACTTATAGTGTGGGTTAGGGTTAGCGAAAATATAGAAACTTTTAGAGTCATTTATTTCATTTTATTTACCTTTCATACAATTGTTTTGTTCTCTTTCATGTCAGTTATTTCTATCTTAAACGATTTTACCTACATGTATGTGCTTATTGACAAAGCACGCTAAAGTGCACGCAATGGTGTAACAGGAATGGGGTTCAGGCAATGGTTTTCGTTTGTTTCTGTGTTCCTACTATTGTAGTTTTTCATTTATTATTATGTTTATTAATCAAGCCGTTGCCTTTCTCTTCTTATTTGGTTTACACTGGACATTGTGTGGCCCTATGTATATATAATATATAGATTGCTATGCGGCGTAGGCTAAGGCTCCACTTTAAAGGCCGTAGTTATTAGTTGCATATATCAACGACATTTGTACTTTATAATCCGTTTGTCGTTGTCCATTGTCTAAATACTTTAACAATCAATTTATTATCTTAATATTTAGGGTGCTTTTGTATTTTATGGTTTGTAGCTAATGATTTAATGTTGCACGTAGTAGATATTTCAAATTAGATTTAGTGAGAGTTTTAGTTGGAAACCCGACAAACTAAGACATGGACGTTGAATTTATATGCATACGGAAATTCGTAGTGAATAAAACATTTATACTGGACTTTGCCGTATATTTACATGTATAATTTATACTGCGTTTAACATTAATTGTGATTGTATTTGAAATTGAATTAATATAACATTTGGTATCTGAAGTGATGCTTTATTTATTTATACTCACGGTGAGCTTCTCCCCAGAACACTTGTTATAGTAGGGTCGTCCTAAAACCCCTGTTACATGTGTATTCCTTTATTTGTCAAATTTACGTTAAACTGGACATTCATTTGCCACACATGTACAATTTTGTACTTTTGCTCATCAGTGAATGGTGCTACAAATCAAAATGCAGGAGAATCAAACAGGCCTTATTGAGCCAAACTGCATGGCTTCTTGAAACTGGAATACGTTTTCACAAAGGAAAACCTAAGTTGTAATAAAGGTTAAATATAAGATAATTCAAAGTTTAAAGTGAATTTTGCAATTTTCTTGACAGAACTTGGCATAAAGATTCCAGACAAATTATTAGGTCAATACATCTGCATCAAGACAATGGTAATGTATATCTCAAAATATGATGAGGCTAAAATAAAAGAACGAAATGATATATAAACCAAAGATTGAGAATCGTTTTGAAATTCTAATAATCGTAACTTTGTCTACCATAACCAGATTTCCTGAAAATAAAATCGGAATAGTTCAGTTAGACAGCGCCCGTCCAAAGTCGGGACACTATACAATCATTGGTCTTGTCTACGTTTGTATGTGTCTTTGGTCTAGTGTTTTTGTATAATTTCAGAATTTGAATCGTCATTACAAAGAATATATCTTTTCCGGTTTTTTAATTATAAAAATAAGAAGATGTGGTATGATTGCCAATGAAACAACTCTCCACAAGAGACCAAATGCCACAGAAATTAACAACTATAGGTCACTGTACGGCCTCCAACAATGAGCAAAGCCCATACCGCATAGTCAGCTATAAAATGCCCCGAAATGACAACAGTTCTTTTTATTTAAGACACAGGTACTCACGTTCTTACTATACATATTCAATTTATTTCTCTAGCAAATGGAGATTGTTTTTCATACGAGTACAGTAAATAAAAATAAAAGTTATATTTTTATATAAGGGGAAACTTATTACATCTCTTTTTTTTTCTCAAAGAAAATACCTGGACGGATTTTCACTCTAAGGAACCAATCTCATTAAGCCCGGATACTCAACGGCCAAAGTTGGTCAAATGTCTGACACTTAAACATCGACAATTCAGTATGCACACTGGGAAATCTCTATCAAACATTTTCTCACAAATAAAATAATGATATCTGTCACAGGATCAGTCATTGATTTTCCTGGCCGTACAATCTTTTAATGTTTGAACAGTGAGATTAAACATGACCCTTTTGATTCTGAAATGGCCAATTTCAGAAATTCACTTTTGAACACTGGACGAGAATTTTTTTTTGGAAAAAGTGCATCAAATGAATTCTTGTATCTTATATATATGTTAAAAACAAAACATATTTCTTTCTAAATATAATAATTATTCCACCTTCAAGAAAGGTTCAAGGAAGCTCCCTGTTTGTCTCCTTTTCTTTCTGTCTGTGTGTCTTGTATGTATAACTCCTGCTAAATAGCTGGACAGATACTGATGAAACTGAGGTTACACAGTTGTAGAATACTAAATGAGGGTAAGCCTAAAGTGAAAAAACCCAGGTTTTACTTTTAAGGGTAGATAATCAAACTAACATCTACACCATTTGGTCTCTGGTTGATAGTTGTCATAATGGCAATCATAAAACATCTCCTTCTTTAATATTATATACTTCAATGTTGCAATGTGGTAATTGTCTCTAGTAAGCAAAATTCTTCATACATTTGTAAACAGGTGGACAGATATTGATGAAACTTTACACAGTTATAGATTACTGTCGGATGATGTGCATACATGAATATAATTCTGGTCTGAAATATTAAAGGGAAGATAATCAAACTTGTAGTAGGGGAAATCATATTGTGAGATCTCTGACAGTTGTAGTTTTTGCAAGAGCAAACAGATAATATACTATTGACTCCTCCTTAATTCTTTCAATGAAATGAATTGTAAATGATTCAATAGGCTTAGCTTGTTGTAGTGAGTAGTATAGTGTCGTTAAAAAAAATAATTAGACATTTCAGATTTATATTTTTATTTGCAACCTTTAAAATTACAAACAAGTTGGTTTTTTTCTCATCTTGATCTACTTTCAAACCTAACTTCGATTGAGATCAATCTATCACTGTTGTTTAAACAAATTATTTGGAAGACAAGTATAGATAACTCCTTAAAATACTACTTTATAATCTGTATACATTTTTTATAAATCATTTCAAATAACTATCTTATAAATTTCTCCATAAATATTTGGATATATGTGTATAATTATAAAAATAAAATCTTTATAACAATGATTGAATCCGTATTGGCTTCGTGAAGGAATAATCATATATAACTAAACTACAAAAATCTTTGAAATTCCCTGAACTGTTTTTAATGGCACAATGAATGCACCAGTTAATGAAGTTAATGATACTGGCTCAGAAAAAACATAAAAACATTTCCTATTTATTTCATTAAAACTAAGTAAGAGTTATTGTTCTTATAATTTTTACAGTAATTTATGAACAATATCAAAATAAAGTACAAACATATTATCATGTACTTATAAAAAATATACATGAATAAAAACCCTGTTGATATGGTAACTTCTTTTGAAATTAAAATGATTGTCTAATATTCCAGTGATGATCCGGAGTGAAAATAATAAGCTCCACTTTATTTATTTTTATTTGGGAGGGGGGGGGGGGGGTCTTTAATAGGGATTTAACAAGAATGTGTCCATAGTACATGGATGCCCCACTCGCACTATCATTTTTTATGTTCAGTGGACCGTGAAATTGGGGTCAAAACTCTAATTTGGCATTAAAATTAGAAAGATTATATAATAGGGAACATATGTACAAAGTTTCAAGTTGATTGGACTTCAACTTCATCAAAAACTACAGTGACCAAAAACTTTAACTTGAAGCAAGACAGACAGACAGACAGACAAACGAACGGACCCACAGACTATCGTAGGTGGGGCATAACAAAAAAAAGTAACATCCACTTAAAACAGATGTAATTGGAGGCCCTTTTATTCAATCAGATAGCAATAAAAAAACTCAACTATATTCTACAATTGTATATCATTTTGCATGTCAAAATTCAGTTTACAGTAGATACAACACACTGGTATCATTAACTAAATAAAAGTAAGTTTTCAAGTGTTTTTTGTTACTGCAACAAAATATATCTTCTTGAATAATTTCTACCTGAAAAGAATGATTGTGGAGGTGAAAATCGATGTAAAGTAATAATTCTATCAAAAAGTTATGCAAATCTTGAATACACTGTAAACAATTAAAGTATACCCTATACTAGCAATATCATTATTATATTTAACAATGTAGTTTTAAAACCAATAACACACATACTTTGCAAACAAAGTGGAGACAACTGTGATTGTCAATAATCAGCCTATTTAAATTGAGGTAAAATTTGATAAGTTATTTAAAGGAATTAAGCAATGACAAGTGTCATAGTGAGTAAATGGAATAGCATTTTGGTTTTAACATATCTAATGTGCTACATTAACATTGTGGTTCATATTTTGTTTCTTACAGAAAAATTGTATGACAAGTTTTAAAGCAAAAAACAACTTTCTTGCTGTCAAGATTCCCTAGACCAGTTCGAGCATTTCTGTAAAATAGTTATTTGCTGAAATTGATTTTTACATATTTGTCTGTTCTATTTCAAATCGTGAATCTTAAATGCTGAGTTTTGAAAGGCAAATGCCAAACTTTCATATAGTTTTTACTCATTTAAAAATGTATAAATAGCCAGTTTGCAGGATCAAATAAAAATGTGGTATGGCTAGGGAGAATTAAAAAAATATAACAAACCCATATGCAATCCAGAGAAGAATATAGGCCTAACATAAAATATAAGGAATAATATATAAAAGCTTACAAATTTCTTCACTTCAGTAGATACAAACATTAAAAAGCAATTTCATCCATAAATTTCAATTATCTTCATATTGTTTGACAAAGTAGTAAATATGGCAGATTAAATAGAAAGATAAAGTTTCATCGCTTTATTCTTTTGGATTGTTTTAATATAATTTACTTCCTCTTGTGAATACACATATAACAATGAAATAAATTGTACCCGGACAAAGAATAAATTCAAGAATGTTGTCATGCAATTAAACAGCAATGGAGGTTTTCATATGTTGAAAGGAATGATTTAGCTAACGCTAAGTCTAGTACTTCAAATATGTGACTCCAACATGGTAAAATCTTATCTACAACCTTGGGGGTTTAGCTGGTGACCTTGAAACCTCTCCTTTCATTTAAAAGGATCTGTGAACTATAAAAATGTTCAAAACAGAGAATATATCAATATATCAGTTAAGAACTGCATAGTTTGCTCAAAACTGACCTTGTCATGACCTTGTCACATGAGGGTATTTTTAAACATGATATTGTGACCTAAGGGGGAATCCTACTGAAGCCCTAAATATTATTTTGTTATATAGGGTGGATCATAGACAAAATTTTGGTTAACATTAGAAAAATAATGCAGCAGTTTCCAATGGGTTAGGAAATGGGAGTGTAGCAAAATATCAAACAAATACAACAAGAGTGCACACGCTGAAATGTCTCGCCTTCTTTACTAATCATTGATATGTTGATAGTCCTAAATATAAAGCTTTATTACAACTGTCACATAAACTTAACATTAACCAAGTAAACTAAACATTGACCAATGAACCATGAAAATGAGGTCAAGGTCAGATGAACCATGCTAGGCAGGCATGTACAGCTAACAATTCTTCCATACAACAAATATAGTTGACCTATTGCTTATAGTTTAAGAAAAACAGATGAAAACACAAAAACTTAACACTGAGCAATGAACCTTGAAAATGAGGTCAAGGTCAAATAAAACCTGCGTAACTGACATATAGATCATAAAATATTTCCATACACCAAATATAGTTGAACTATTGCATATAGTATTAGAAAAAAAGACCAAAACTCAAAAACTTAACTTTGACCACTGAACCATGAAAATGAGGTCAAGGTAAGATGACACCTGCCAGCTAGACATGTACACCTTACAATCATTCCATACACCAAATATAGCTGACCTATTGCATGCAGTATTAGAAAGAAAGACCAAAACTCAAAAACTTAACTTTGACCACTGAACCATGAAAATGAGGTCAAGGTCAGATGACACCTTCCAGCTAGACATGCACACCTTACAATCATTCCATACACCAAATATAGTAGACCTATTGCATACAGTATAAGAAAAACAGACCAAAACACAAAAACTTAACTATAACCACTGAACCATGAAAATGAGGTCAAGGTCAGATGACACCTGCCAGTTGGACATGTACACCTTACAGTCCTTCCATACACCGAATATACTAGACCTATTGCTTATAGTATCTGAGATATGGACTTGACCACGAAAACTTAACCTTGTTCACTGATCCATGAAATGAGGTCGAGGTCAAGTGAAAACTGTCTGACGGGCATGAGGACCTTGCAAGGTACGCACATACCAAATATAGTTATCCTATTACTTATAATAAGAGAGAATTTAACATTACAAAAAATCTGAACTTTTTTTTCAAGTAGTCACTGAACCATGAAAATGAGGTCAAGGACATTGGACATGTGACTGACGGAAACTTCGTAACATGAGGCATCCATATACAAAGTATGAAGCATCCAGGTCTTCCATCTTCTAAAATATAAAGCTTTTAAGAAGTAAGCTAACGCCGCCGCCGCCGCCGGATCGCTATCCCTATGTCGAGCTTTCTGCGACAAAAGTCGCAGGCTCGACAAAAATGTAACAACCAAAATCTTTGGTAAACAAAAGCACCTAATCACTACCCTGATAGATAGAATATGTAAGACAAGAATACATGAACTATGAGTTGATTGATGTCTCTATTTTTTTCAGCACTGTAAAATTGCTGACTGTTCAAGGACAAGTAAATATCTTTTCAAGCTTTGGTAAATTACATGTATTCAAAAACAATTCAAGATAAAACTATTACTCTGATTAATGATGTTATAAAATACCACCACCCCTTGGGAAATTGGGCAAGGAATTGTGGGTAGTGGAAAAAATGATGAAGGAATGAAATGATAAACTAATCATACAAAAAATTTGCAAATGTGGAAAATGGGAAAAAAAATGTTAATTTACGATTGAGGAAATTTTGCATCACCAAACCTTTTCATATTGAAACAAGTCACAGGGTCATGAAACAAACATCTAATTCTTAACAATTGGTAAAAGAGCAAAAAATAACGTTATAAAAATTATAGTTACCGGTATATGTAAATGGGTACTTCTTTTTATTTGCAACAGTAAATAAAAAATAATTTGAATAAAATTGAATAAAATTGAATATAACATTTGACTGTTCTACATGTCTCATGTATATAATTTGTCATTTGGATCCTTTCTACTGTAAATTCATTATTATTCGTTGGATACCAATAATGTCAACTTTGTGGGTACAGGGGAACCACAAATTTAAATGTTGAAGGAATTACAAGTTTTTGATATGAATATATGCATTTTGGAAAATTTTTGAAATAAAATATCGACAAAAATGCAAGTTTTCCTCAATTCACGAAAATTGGTACCCACGAAAATAAATAAATCCACAGTATTGATAAGTTGTCAAAACAGAAGTTCAAGAATTATTTTCAAATATAAATGTTCACAATTTTTGTTTATTTATAATTGAAATACATTTATTTTTGCATGTTAAAAATTTGTCCATTGAATCCATATAACAAAAATAAAACAAACTATCCAAGTACTTTTGATGAATACATTTGTTTTTTTCTTGACAAAACTAGTACTTTTTCACATATTCTCATGTATTTTTCAAATAATTGAGCATAAAAAATATTACTCAAATTGTAACAATATAAAAAGCAATCAAAAATCATAAAATATGGCATTTTGAATACAAAAGTATGAAGTAATGCTCCTGTTTTGATATCCCTGAAATATATCGATAAAAAATAACTGGATGAAATAACCCTTCGATTTTACAACCCAAAATATATCACAGCATTTAATATAAAGCTAATATATCAATAACAACCAACATATTATCCAATAAAAGTCCACATAGCGTACACAATGTATTTAAAATAGGTACAAAAATATATATATACTAGTATTTTCTAAACAGCAGCTGTTAGATTTTTTTATACTTCATGTTTGGCATACAGATCTTGCACCTTTCGGTTGAAGAAATGCCGAAGCTGCGGTCGTTTATTCTTGAAGGTTGATGTCAGTAGGTTATTCTCCACAGAAAATAACTCATGATGAAGGTGAATATCTCTAACCTGAAATAAATACATACACTTCTGTCAAAATGCATTACAGAATTGATAAAAAGGGAAAAAAAAATAGAAAATGTGAGACAGCACACCAACAACAAACAGTATTAATTATAATTCAACATATAGTCGAACTTGTTTCCCAGAGTTTGATGAATAGATGAGTTTTGAATGCCCAACAGGCAACCTTTCAAGCAAAAGAGAAGGTATGAAATAACCATTATTTGGCAACTGAAACAACAAAATTGAAATAAATGGGGAATGTGTCCATGGGACACAGATGATGCCCCGCTTGCATATCATATAAAGTTATTAAGGGACATAACTGAAGAACGGTAAAAGTGAAGCTACCCAAATTTGTACTTGATCCGAGTTTTGTGGTAATAAGTATTGAGTATATGTTTCATAACATTTGGTTGAGGCAAACTAAAGTTGGCACTCATACCACATCTTCTTATATCTATTTAGAGAATGGAAACGAAAAATTCAGCAATTTTTCCATTTGTAAAGGGGCATAACTCTAGAACGGTTAAAGTGACACCACTAAAATTAAAACCTGGTCTGTGTTTTGTGGTAATAAGCATTTTGTATAAGTTTCATAACATTTGGTTGAGGCAAACTAAAGTTAGAGAACGGAAACGAAAAATTCAGCAATTTTTCCATTTGTAAAGGGCATAGCTCTTGAACAGTTAAAGTGACCCCTCAAAAATTCAAACTTGATCTGTGTTTTGTGGTAATAAGCATTGTGTATAAGTTTTATAACATTTGGTTGAGGTAAACTAAAGTTAGAGTATGGAAACCAACTTTGGGACATACGGACGTAAGGACGGACAAGGGTAAAACTTAATGCCCCCTCTGCTACGGTGGGGGCATAAAAAAGTATTCAATGCTATCAACATTATGTTATTTCTAATGATAAGTTATTATAATCTAAGCACTTAGCAGAAAGGTAATTATGTCATAAAAGTGTTGAAATTGACAAATAATGGTCATTTATAATAATCATTTTACAAATAGTTTTTGGAAAAACTAAAATAATAACCTTATACAAAACTGATATTTTAACATTATATACCTTCAACACATTTGGTAAAATTCATCTTGTAACAAAATATCTGTTTGGGTGAAGCCTAGGCTTATAATGTATAAATATTTATGACAATGTCGCTCTTTTGCCGAAATTGCAAAATGGGGTGATGAACTTTGGCCGGTTCAAATAAATGATTTTACAGGTCCACGGCCCTGTTCGACCACGCAAATGGACAAGGAAAAGACGGAGATAGATTTTTTTTTTCATTTAATTTTCCCGGAGAGACTTTATTCGGAAAAGCAACGCAAACAAATATAAGCAAATGGGAGGCAAAATGTCAATTGGCTTCCAACTACTGGTGATGAAATCAAAGCATACTTAGGGGTCAGATAGTTATGGGAATAGTACCTGTCCCCAATATGGATATGTATTGGTACAAAGACAAACTTTTTCATTCTTCTAGTCTTGAAGAAAATTTTCAAGAAACAGATATGAGGAATTACAACGATATCACCATGTGGCAGACACCACACATAATCCACCGACCAACCTGGACATGATAAACTGGCCCATGTAAGACCAATACTTGACATAATAATTCGTGATAACTCTCTTCAAGAATATAAACCACACATGAAAGTATCCATTGATGAAGCAATGATTGGTTTTAATGGCAGGTTGGGGTTCAAACAGTATGTTCCCTTGAAGCCTACAAAAAGGAGGATAAAAGTTTGGGTTCGAGCAGATCTGAACAATGGTTATATAAATGACTTTCAGGTTTATACTGGAAAGACAGCAAATAATCCAGTACTTAACCTTGGCAAAAGAGTTGTTCTTGATCTTATGACCCCTGTGTTTGGGTTGGGTCATTATCTTTACTGTGAGTTTCTTTACTTCACCAGATTTATTCATAAATTTATGGGACCATGGTACTTATGCCTGTGGCACGGTTAGAGCAAACCGTAAAGGATTACCCGCTGGTTTAGACCGTATTAAACTAAAAGAACAAGGCCAGTTTGTTGTAAAGCAAAAAAATTATATGCGAGTCACAGTTTGGAGGGACAAGAAAAACATAAATTTATTATCAACAAATTGTTATGGTGAACCTGACAAAGTCAACAGTAAGTAAAAGATGGTACCATCAAAGCATCAAAGAGGTACCTTGTCCGCTGTCAGTTAAATAATATAACATGTACATGAAAGGAGTAGACCATGCAGATCAGTTGTCTACCTACAACATCTCCAGAAAGTGCTTGAAATGGTGGACATCAGTATTGTTAACACATATCTTCTTATGAGGGAGTCTGTTAATCACCAAATAGTGACAAAAAAGAACAGGCCACGACAAATGACTCAGCTAGAGTTCAGAATGAAACTAGCTCACCAAATGCTAGGACAATTTCATGGGAAAAGAAAACAGTCAAAGACCAGTACTTCAACCTACTAGTCATTGGATCAAAAATACTCTGAAGAAGAGGACATGTAAAATGTGCACACAAAATAAAATTAGAAAGGAACCCAAAACCGGGTATGCTCAGTGTAAAGTAAATTTGTGCACAGAATGTTTTAGGCCATATCACAGGAAATTATTCCCACATTTGTTCTTGTAAATAGAGGATATAATCATTGAGATTCATAAATTTTTGGAATATTTTTACTAATTGGATAAATATGTGATTTATCCTGTATATATTTTGATAAAATGTATGTGTGTGGAAAGACAATTGTTTCTTCTTTATTCACTGAAATTTTTATGGATTAATGTTGGATAATTACTGAGCAATCAAGGTAAATATCATGCATGTGCATGTCTGAAAGTAGAAAAGTTAATTAGGTAAAAATGGTCTGGGGCACAGCCTGATAACTGATACTGGCTTATCACTGTTGCAGTGTAAATATACCTTTGGGGGTGAATGAGTTAAGAAAATATAAATGGTGATATTAAGCAGATTTAATACATTTTGATTTTTAGATTCAAGGGGCAAAAAATTGCCTTATCTTATTCAAAGGGCAAGAAACGGCCTCAAGGTAAGAAAATGATAATGTGATACAAATATAAACTTTATACAAAACCTTTCTATATACTAAATTGACAAGTGTTTTCAACATTGTATCTCATAAAGCAACACATATAAATTTTTATAAAGGCAATTTGGATAAGTTATTCTTACATTAAACCAGTCAATCTTTCTCTCATCCCTAAATTTCTGTCCTTAATACTATACTTTATGTAAACAATAATTATTATCTTTACCTGTTCAAAAGATTTCAGTCCTAAAATTTTTCCAACAGCTATTATATCTTTATGAATGATGTCTTTAATTTTCTGAAATAAAAAGAAACATTTAAAATTTTAATCAGTTATAAACTTAATTTTCATGTAAGTCTAAGTTATCAAATCTGTTATATCATTTCCCCACACTTTGTTCATCTATGATGAATGTAGCAAATATAAAACAATAATTTTTGCATAACAAATTTTATACTTCCCACACGGATTTCACATGGGTTAATGCTGACCAAGAATATGTGTCTATAGGACACCATGTTCCACTTGCACTATCTAATTTCCATGTTCAGTGAACCATGAAATCTAGGTCAAACCCTAAATTGGCATTTATTTCATATGGTTACTATCATCTTTATAATGTGTTAATAATAAATAATAACTAAGTTGATATGACCCCATGGTAAACTACTTCAAACCAAATCACCAACTTTCCATGTTTCCCAATCCTATATCGTCCTACCTTACTCTAACAGACAGATTCCCAATCCTCTATCGTCCTACCTTACTCTGACAGACAGATTCCATGTTTCCCAATCCTCTATCGTCCTACCTTACTCTGACAGACAGATTCCCAATCCTCTATCGTCAAATCTTACTCTGACATACAGATTCCCAATCTGTTATTGTCTAACCTTACTCTGACAGACAGATTCCCAATCCTCTTTCGTCCTACCTTACTCTGACAGACAGATTCCATGTTTCCAAATCCTCTATCGTCCTACCTTACTTTGACAGATTCCATGTTTCCCAATCTATCGTCCTACCTTACTCTGACAGACAGATTCCATGTTTCCCAATCCTCTATCATCCTACCTTACTCTGACAGACAGATTCCATGTTTCCCAATCCTCTATCGTCCTACCTTACTTTGACAGACAGATTCCATGTTTCCCAATCCTCTATCGTCCTACCTTACTCTGACAGACAGATTCCCAATTCTCTATTGTCCTACCTTACTCTGACAGACAGATTCCCAATCCTCTATCGTCCTACCTTACTCTGACAGACAGATTCCCAATCCGTTATTGTCTTACCTTACTCTGACAGACAGATTCCCAATCCTCTATCGTCCTACCTTACTCTGACAGACAGATCCCCAATCCTCTATCGTCCTACCTTACTCTGACAGATTCCATGTTTCCAAATCCTCTATTGTCCTACGTTACTTTGACAGACAGATTCCATGTTTCCCAATCGATCGTCCTACCTTACTCTGACAGACAGATTTCATGTTTCCCAATCCTCTATTGTCCTACCTTACTTTGATAGACAGATTCCATGTTTCCCAATCCTCTATCGTCCTACCTTACTCTGACAGACAGATTCCATGTTTCCCAATCCTCTATCGTCCTACCTTACTTTGATAGACAGATTCCATGTTTCCCAATCCTCTATCGTCCTACCTTACTCTGACAGACAGATTCCATGTTTCCAAATCCTCTATCATCCTACGTTACTTAAACAGACAGATTCCATGTTTCCCAATCTATCGTCCTACCTTACTCTGACAGACAGATTCCATGTTTCCCAATCCTCTATCGTCCTACCTTACTCTGACAGACAGATTCCATATCTTCTGACACGCCATTATCCTTAGCAACTTTCATAACAGTTTCTACATCTGGTACTATAATACCCAGCAGGAATGGCTGAATAAAAGAACCATTGTTGTATATTAAATACTGTTGATTCATGATTATTTGTGGGAAACCAATTTTGGTGAATTTAGTGGGTCAATGTAAAACCCAAATTCAAATGTTCAATGAAATACAAATTTTCTGTAGGCTTGTATGCAGACTTTGCCAAAACCATGAAATCCAATAACAATGAAAATACACTTTTTCCTGACAGACAGATTCCCAATCCGTTATTGTCTTACCTTACTCTGACAGACAGATTCCCAATCCTCTATCGTCCTACCTTACTCTGACAGACAGATCCCCAATCCTCTATCGTCCTACCTTACTCTGACAGATTCCATGTTTCCAAATCCTCTATTGTCCTACGTTACTTTGACAGACAGATTCCATGTTTCCCAATCTATCGTCCTACCTTACTCTGACAGACAGATTTCATGTTTCCCAATCCTCTATTGTCCTACCTTACTTTGATAGACAGATTCCATGTTTCCCAATCCTCTATCGTCCTACCTTACTCTGACAGACAGATTCCATGTTTCCCAATCCTCTATCGTCCTACCTTACTTTGATAGACAGATTCCATGTTTCCCAATCCTCTATCGTCCTACCTTACTCTGACAGACAGATTCCATGTTTCCAAATCCTCTATCATCCTACGTTACTTAAACAGACAGATTCCATGTTTCCCAATCTATCGTCCTACCTTACTCTGACAGACAGATTCCATGTTTCCCAATCCTCTATCGTCCTACCTTACTCTGACAGACAGATTCCATATCTTCTGACACGCCATTATCCTTAGCAACTTTCATAACAGTTTCTACATCTGGTACTATAATACCCAGCAGGAATGGCTGAATAAAAGAACCATTGTTGTATATTAAATACTGTTGATTCATGATTATTTGTGGGAAACCAATTTTGGTGAATTTAGTGGGTCAATGTAAAACCCAAATTCAAATGTTCAATGAAATACAAATTTTCTGTAGGCTTGTATGCAGACTTTGCCAAAACCATGAAATCCAATAACAATGAAAATACACTTTTTTCTCAATCCACAATACTTGGTATCCACAAAAATGATTGAATCCACAGTACCTAGGTAGAGATAAATAGTGGAGGACATTTACTATTGAATTAATCTTACAAATGTTACACTAATCATGTGGATTTAAAAAAAAAAAAATTACTGCATTAGAAATTTTGAAGAGAAAAACAAATATCCATGCCTTACAACAATTATAATTCCACAAGCTTATCTCAAATGTGAAACAAGAATTTACATAATGACATTGAAAAAATAATAAAAGCTCACATTGAAGATTCACCCTTTAATACATTTACCTAGGCCTTAAGACTCAAGATATATAATCTTATAGGGGAAAAGATTATTACTTAAATCATTGATGCATACTGTATGTACAAACCTTTAAGCTGTCACCTTCAATGAACACTTGAGCAACATATTCACTTCTCATATAGGCTATCTCAATCTTTTCTGGTGCAATATACTCTCCCTGCAAAGAAAACATCCTTTTTATTATGCTTATTTCAAAGCTGTTAATTTTCACAATTGTCTGGGATGAAAACATGTATATTAGTCCCAGCCATAGTGAACTATTATAAAATTTTACTTTTTTTCATCAATTTTTGAATAAAACAAAATTTTGATCTGGCATCAAAAACATTCATGATATTGCTGTATGAAGCCAATCAGAAGTACAGTTGCCAATGTTATAGTAAAAAATGACCTCTCATAAACCTTAAATAGGTTCTATGTGCTTGCTTTCGGTAACTGCAAGGGTTCTTTATTAGAACAATGGCCAACTTACTGTAAATTCATATTTATTTTAGAATGGACAAAAATGCGAGATTAATTATTGCAATTTCAGGTAAAGCTGCATACAGATATATGTATTAGAGCTATAATCACCAAGTAGCATTATTTGCTGTAATAAAAACCTTGCAATAATTTTAGAATTTACAGTAATTGAATTTACCATGAGATTAAGTTACCAACAAATTAATTATAGGTTTGTGCAAAGAATTATCAACTTCAAGAAATAAGAATCCATGAAATAAATTGTTTTTCTGAAATCCACAAAAAAGTGGTGCACAATCTACACAGAGTTTAATAATTGCAATTTCAGCAAATACTACATACATACACACATTAAATGCTATTAAAATTTAAAATGTCTTTTCTAATTCTTGCAACAAATAGCTTGTCGCAATTTTTTGCAACGATAAAAATGTCGCAAATATATCTGAATTTACAGCACTAGTTTATCTCTGCCACATGCCTGTCCTAAGTCAGTAATCTCATGAGTGTCTATGTTAACCTTTTTTATCTGTTCACTGAATTGTTGTTGAGGATGTCAATGTTGCATTCACATTGAGTAATGACTTTTTGTGATTCAGGGCTTGTTATACTGAGTAAGCACTTGCCCACCATTGATGGCCATTCAGTGAACTTAGATGTTTGCTTTGGTCAACCTATCAATATGTTGTTAGGTAATTTGAACCCACCTCTCCTCTTATTTGCAGGAAATGATAAAGATTTTAAATTCAAATGATTTTACAATTGTCATCCCAATGAATGCTTTGCCCAAGTACGAAAAACATCTTATCTGGGCAAGTCTGAAAATCTAACCTGAGCAAGTTTAAAGATATTTTTCTTTCTGTCAACAATCTTCAAAGTACCATTCTGTAAATAAAAAATAACAATAACAACTATCCTTAAAACCCTTTTATCTTGTTTTTTTTTAAATCTTAATTTGATGCTATCTTTAAACTTCCTAGAATTCTTGCTATCTGATCAATTGATAATTCATCTGCAAAATATAAGATGACATAGCATATAGGAAATGTAAAATTATAGATTCCACCACTGCATCAAGTGTGTTACGATGTTGTGGTGGAATCTGTTTCTCTAATGATTTTTAGACGATATCTAAACAAAGTGTATCCTTCTTTTTCAAAGATTTGCAGAAAGTTGTGTTCTTTATATGTGACATCATCAGGCATGGTCGCCTTTTTTTCATCACGTCACAATAGGAAATTCAGAAGAAACCAAGAAAATTTGACGTCATAATTAAATTTCAACCAATCATTTGCCGAGAACATTTATTTCACTAGTGAGGAGAACAATTTTTTCACAATCGGTTGGGAAATGTGAAAATAGTGAAAAAATTAGAGAAAAATAGTTTTATGGTAAGTCTCCCAATAAAAATTTTTAAAAATCTTTTAAAGTCTCTTGATTGCTAACTAAACATGCTAAAGCATGTGAAAATTTAACAATGTAAACTAAAGTTTACACATTCTTGTGTTCGGTCAACTGATACCAAGCCCTTAACATATATAAATTACTAATATCAGTGTTCTCCCCAGGATTTTTGGATAGCACCAGGGTAACGCGTGTGAACAGCTTGGTGAAATGATTCATACAATCAGTTGTGTCGTGTGGCGACGCTATATTTCTAGTTACTGCAGTTTTTATGTCTCTTGTTTAGTTTTAATACTGTGGTACTGTGTTATGTCAGAATATTATTGGTTAAAAAGATCAATAAACAGTTTGTATACTTTTAATATTTTTTAAAAATAAATAAAACATGATTCATTACATAATATTCATCTAAATTTAAAGTAATTAAATCTTTTATAAAATCCATGATCAATAAAAATAAAATATCATTCAAACAGGAACATATATATTGTTAGATATACTGTTCCCAGATTCAAAAGAGAACAAAAATGTTCAATTTAAAAACTTTCTAGTTTCTAGAAAGAAAGCTGTTGTTTGTGAAAGGATTCCTGTCATAAGGAGATATAAAATTAACAAGAACAAAATTGTGTAATAATTTGAACCAGTTTCTATCTTAAATTTTAATAAAAAGAAATTTTTCATAAATTTTAAAACATTTTGCCATAAACTTCATGAACATGTAAATATTAACCTTTCTTGTCTTTGGTGATAATCAAACATAACAGACTTAATAATACTGCTCTGAAATCTAAATCTTTATTTGTCATGATCCATTTAAAAAGAATTCCTAAATCTATGAATTTATCTTAGGTCTATAGATCTACAAGTAACATATTCAATGTCAACAACAAAGTCTCCCTATTTTCCCGCCTAAATGACAGGAAGTAGATATAAATAGATTTAACATGTGCTTATGGATTAAAATTGCAAGATCACTTCTGTTATTCATTAATGATCATATGGATATATATATCCAGTTTGAAGGTACAGTCATGCATTTTATTTATAAAATAGAATAGATTGCAGTTAATTGTAAAAAATCTTGAATATTCTACGTGAACTAACTGGGTCATGTGATCCTTCCCCTTTGAATTACTTGTTGACAGTTTGAAACCGGAATATCATGCAATAACTATGTCATAATTAAAGATAATTTTGGCCATGGTTTAATCAGAGACATATAAAACTATAATATAAGTATTGAGCTAACTATATAATGTACAAAATATGAACCGTCGTGTGTAAAACTATCGATTGTGTACAAAGTATTTGCCGACTTGTCAGGTGGTGAGTGAAGCCTTAAAATAGTTATCTTTGATCATAAAGTTATGATCTCTTAATTAAAACACAAAAGAATCATGTAAAAGGTGTTAATTACATCGATTAAATCCAATCAACAAAGGCTAACCTCAAAAAGGTAAATCGATCATGTGGTGCATGGCTTCCAAAACGGTCATATATTCTGGACTTGACCGAAATTTATATAAAAAGTCCGGCTGCTCTCAGCCTCAAACGGTCAAATATCATAGGTTTGCCACTTTTTGTTATTCAGGGCATTTTCATAAAACGGTCATTTCACTTTTTTTACCAACTATTGATCGGTAAAAATGTCCGTTTGGGCATTATAGTTTATAATTGTGGCAATCTATTTCACAAAGATATTTCGGTCATATTTGGGTTTAATTAAACAGATGCAGCATATTTCATACTTTGAAGTGTCTCAGTTAGTCTAATCCTCTGGGTACACAAATGCACGGCTTGGTACATCAATAAAAAGTAGAAAAAAAAATTTGTTCTTTTATTTAAAAAACAACAAGCTGTCAAACAATTATCCCTTCAATAAGTAACATTGAAGCCATAAATCATTCACTGATTACAGGTCATTATCTTTGATGAGAGACCTTAGCTTGTCTTAATCAATAGAATTGATGATGCATAACAATGAACATAAAGGTGATCAGGTAAACGAGGTCAAACATGTAAGCGTGTATGGAACAACATCCTATTTAGTTACGCTTTGTAGATATTATTGTAAATGACCATTCATTTTTAAAAAAATTTCCTTAGATTTTAAAATAATTCTTCAAATAAGAATATTTATAAATGAATTCGAATATGTATGATATTCATTATTATATTTAAAAACACTGTACATCGTGTTAAATACTGGGGTACGCTAAAGGGTATTCAAAGTTATTTTCTTACATTTCAGCGGGTTACATCTAATTCATTTAGTCTAAAAGATTGAAATTATAAGAAATACGTTAAATTTGAAAAGGTTAACGAATAATCGTCAGAACCACGTTGTTTGAACTAGTACACGTGTGCGCATGTGTCTATTGTCCGCTGGTGGGAAATTTAATTATGCATCCTAATTCTTCAATAATGCTAAAATTATCATTGATTCCTTTATCTAACGTTCATTTCGAGTATTTTCTTGAAGAAATAACTTGAAAAGGCTACTTAACTCAATCGTAAACTTACATGGATATTACGTATCCGTCTCTGATCCGTGTTTTACCATTGTCAAGTCAACATCCGGCATTAGGAAAATGTGATTTTAAAAACAAAAGTAGGCTCTGACAGCGTTATTTTGCACAAATAAAGAGTCTAAAGCGGAATTAGTACGCTGATATTGCACACTTCGAATGCTGCACTTTCAATTTAACACTTTACGTCAGAACATCGAATTTATATCAAAGTAAAGTTTAACATCGTTTTAATCAAATTAATGTCAATCATTGGTTATATCATATATGATGGCTAAATGATTATCATAGTTGCCTAATTTACTAAGTCTAAAGGGATTAAAATCGGGATAAGATATGAAATGTCCGGCTGGTTCAACAAAATTTTGGAAGCCCTGATGTGGTGTAAACAATCCGTGTTGAACTGGTTAGAACTGGTCAAATTTCACCTGGAATTTTATTACACACGGAAAAGATTTAACAAGTCGTTTAAAACTTTACCGATTTACGATTTTTTAACTGAAAAATTTAGCACCACAGAGAAAAATTATACATCGCGGTAAGAACGATACCACCACGGTGAAAAATTATACATCGCGGGCCCGCGGTCCTTTAAGGGCCTGGGGAGAACACTGCTTATATATATCTTGACAACTTTTTAACATCAGTTCTGCATTTTGTCTAATACAGTGTTAAATTCTGTTCTTTTTTCCACCGGACACTCTTGGTCATAAATGCTTTTGAGCAATAACCAAAATGAGGTAAAAATGACCTGTGAATGTTTCTCCACAGCAGTGTGAACTGTATCTGGTTTTCTAGGTAAGCATACACCAATACAGCACTCCCTCCTCTTGTATGACCACTTATGTGACATTTTCTCTCATAAAAAAACATATAGAAATTTCTTCATGATGAAACACCTTTAAAAAGACAATATATCACACACTGAATGATTGCATGGCTTCAGTGAGGGGGAGTGTTGTATCCTGTTATGTTATTTACAGGTTACAAGACACAAATACATCCTAAAGGATTGGCTTCAGTAAGGAAAGGGGGGTTTCATCCTGTTTATGTTTATTTTACTTACAGGTAACCAGACACCAATATCTCCTGTATGTAACCAGCCATCCTTGTCTAATGCTTCCTTGGTCTTTTCCTTGTTGTTAAAGTAGCCACTAAATACATTCGGTCCATAGACGCACACCTAAAATAATTTAGACATCGATCCAAAATGAAAACAACAATTTTGGTATCTACCCATAGCAATGGTAAGTTCTATTTTTTGCATCCTTCCAAATATTTCTTGGTGGCAATATTCAGAACATAATCAGAACATATTCTAATATTTTTTTTTACTTCATTTAAACTTGAATGTAAATGTTTGACAGACTTATTGACTGTATCTAAATGTTAACTGCCAAAAAAGTCCATTTATCAGTAAATATTGAAAATTGACATTTTTTTTCTTTGAAATTATGCTCTTGATACTCTTTCAATCTTGAAAAAGCTTCTGTCCAAGTCTGTTAAACAACTCTTAGTCCTTGATCCACTATTAATTCTTAAAATATGCAACCCATTCTTGGTATATTACACAGCCGATTATCTCTTTTTACATATACATCTATAAACGTAATATTTAATCAAAGTACTTGTGAGCACTGAAGAGTAAAAACTGATTTCATTTTTGCAATTTTGTGAATTTTTAAATAAAACATTGAATTTATTTTGAGTTATGAAAATTTAAAAATTTGAGTTGGAGTTATCTTCCTTTGTTCATGATTGTACATTTGTAGTTGAACCTTTTTATAACAGATTCATACACTATGCATTACTTATGTAACTTTTAATAAAAAAAATGTCTTGACAACTATGGTAATTCAAATTCACATTATATTGTAACTTAAATATCTAAGTATAACATATCAACAATAAATTGCATGACATTGACTGGATAGGATCTAAATAGTGATCGCTTCACTGCACTATTTTGTTTAAACTTTAAAAGGTAGTGATCGACCTTGGAAGATATAGATATCACTTCAGTACCATAAGGTTTTGATTGCATTTCATGCAATCTTTACCCTAAAAAGTCACATTAACAGTAAACACCTAACTATAGATTACAAGAGCGCAATTATTTGTTTACATTTTACTGGCAAAAGATGGAACTCAGAATAGAATCTTATATGGCTTCTGATTGGATGATACAGGATTGCAATTATTTTTAGTCAAAAGTTTATACAATTCGGTTGAAAAAATCCAGAAAATTGAATTTACATTTTACAAAGTAAAGAAATTAAATTCAATATCTGCACGTCAGAGCCATTAAAAATCTGCCTTTTTCATTTAGCAGATGTTTTTCAACTACATTTTAAGTAAATTTTTGCAGCATGACCATATATGTTTTTTGGGTTGTTATGCAATGCTGACATTTCTAGTAACAGGAACTGCTACCCATTTTTTCCTACTTTGTGTCGTCTTCAAGAAATAAAATATGGGACATCACTGTTACCCTATGGAAAATCTGGAAACAGTATATCTAACGGGAAATGAATCTGATAGGCTTTTCAGAAAATTCGTAAGGGTTCCGCGGAACCCAGTGTCTCGCCTACTTTTGCTGTTAGTCGCAGGCTCAACAAAAATGGGGAAATAATTATTAAAAATTTTCCTCTAGATACTATCTTTTGAATGTAAGAAGCTTCTGTTCAAGTTTGGTAAGAATCCAGGATGGTTTATGAATCTAATAAATGTTTTAATAAGAGTGCACACGCTGAAATGTCTTGCCTTCTTTACTAACCATTGATTTTATGTTGATAGTCCTAAATATAAAGCTTTACTACAAGTAACACATAAACTTAACATGATCCAAGAAAATGAGGTCAAGGTCAGATAAACCAAACGAGAAATATATGTACACCTTACAATCATTCAATAAACCAAACAAAGTTGACCTATTGCTTATAGTTTCTAAGAAACAGTCTTAACCAAGAAAACTTAACATTGACCAATGAACCATGAAAATGAGGTCAAGGTCAGATGAACCTTGCCAGACAGACATGTACACCTTACAATCAATCTATGCATTAAATATAGTTGACCTATTGCTTATAGTATCTAAGAAACAAACTTAACCATGAAAACTTAACATTGACCAATGAACCATGAAAATGAAGTCAAGGTTAGATGATACTTGCCAGACAGACATGTACACCTTACAATCCTTCCATACAACAAATACAGTTGATCTATTGCTTATAGTTGAAGAAAAACAGACCAAAACACAAAAACTTAACACTGCGAAATGAATTGTGAAAATGAGGTCAAGGTCAAATAAAACCTACGACACTAACATGTACATCATAAAATATTTCCATACACCAAATATAGTTGACCTATTGCATATAGTATTAGAAAAAAAGACCAAAACTCAAAAACTTAACTTTGACCACTGAACCATGAAAATAAGGTCAAGGTCAGATGACACCTACCAGTTGGACATGTACACCTGACAATCATTCCATATACCAAATATAGTAGACCTGCTGCTTATAGTATGTGATATATGGACTTGACCACGAAAACTTAACCTTGTTCATCGATCCATGAAATGAGGTCGAGGTCAAATGAAAATTGTCTGACAGGCATGAGGACCTTGCAAGGTACGCACATACTAAATATAGTTATCCTATTACTCATAATAAGAAAGAAATTAACATTACAAAAAAAGTTGACTTATTTTTCAAGTAGTCACTGAACCATGAAAATGAGGTCAAGGACAATGGACATATGACAGACGGAAACTTCGTGACATAAGGCATCTATATACAAAGTATGAAGCATCCAGGTCTTCTAGCTTCTAAAATATAAAGCTTTTAAGAAGTTAGCTAACGCCACCGCCGCCGCCGCCAGATCACTATCCCTATGTCAAGCTTTCTGCGACAAAAGTCGCAGGCTCGACAAAAACTTTAACTGCAGACTGTATGTAATGTTAACTGGAAGAATCAAAGCGCGAAAGCGCTGTAAAGGCAGTTAATTACAGGTTGTGTGTATTTTTAGTCCAGTTATATCATTATCTTGCATAGTACATTGTACTTACCAGAGGTGGCTTTCAGTATTTAAGATTTAGAGTTCTCTAATGATATTGAACAAGTTTTATGAATGTCATATTCTGAGCACTATATGAAGGCGATTGTTCTCACTTGTTTATGAACTAGTGCATTATGTCCAGTTTGTACCTTTTTTATCTATGTTTATAGTCAAATACTGTTTAAAATAGTTTGGCATTTTCTTTTTAGTAATAAGTAAATGTTATCAACTGTATTTTATTCAACTTTGCAAATGTGGTTTGTTACTGGTAAGTACAATGTATGGATGATAGTTGTTTCATTGGCAATCATAACACATCTCCTTATTTATATAATGATCTATATTCAACGACCTCAGGTACAAAAAAAATGTATGTAACTAAACTATGATGGGAAACCTTTGACTTCTTCTTTTATATAAACTTTTGATTTGGTACCATAGAACTATGTAGAATAAATATACATTGCAACATGTCAACTCTTTCAATGACAATACTTTTTTTAGAAACTATAACTACAAGCAAAATTATATTTCCAAGTATAAAGTAATTTATGAATGAAACAAGAGTGCACACGCTGAAATGTCTCGCCTTCTTTACTAATCATTGATATTATGTTGATAGTTATAATATAAAGCTTTATTACAACTGTCACATAAACTTAACATTAACCAAGTAAACTAAACATTGACCAATGAACCAAGAAAATTAGGTCAAGGTCAGATGAACCATGCTAGGCAGGCATGTACAGCTAACAATTCTTCCATACAACAAATATAGTTGACCTATTGCTTATAGTTTAAGAAAAACAGACCAAAACACAAAAACTTTAAACTGAGCAATGAACCTTGAAAATGAGGTCAAGGTAAAAAAAAACCTGTGTGACTAACAAATAGATCATAAAATATTTCCATACACCAAATATAGTTGAACTATTGCATATAGTATTAGAAAAAAAGACCAAAACTCAAAAACTTAACTTTGACCACTGAACCATGAAAATGAGGTCAAGGTCAGATGACACCTGCCAGCTAGACATGTACACCTTACAATCATTCCATACACCAAATATAGTAGACCTATTGCATACAGTATAAGAAAAACAGACCAAAACACAAAAACTTAACTATAACCACTGAACCATAAAAATGAGGTCAAGGTCAGATAACACCTGCCAGTTGGACAGTCCTTCCATACATCGAATATACTAGACCAGACCTATTGCTTATAGTATCTGAGATATGGACTTGACCACCAAAACTTAAACTTCTTCACTGATCCATGAAATGAGGTCGAGGTCAAGTGAAAACTGTCTGACAGGCATGAGGACCTTGCAAGGTACGCACATACCAAGTATAGTTATCCTATTACTTATAATAAGAGAGAATTTAACATTACAAAACATCTTAACTTTTTTTTCAAGTAGTCACTGAACCATAAAAATGAGGTCAAGGACATTGGACATGTGACTGACGGAAACTTCGTAACATGAGGCATCCATATACAAAGTATGAAGCATCCAGACCTTCCACCTTCTAAAATATAAAGCTTTTAAGAAGTTACCTAACGTAGCGCCGGATCTCTATCCCTATGTCGAGCTTTCTGCGACAAAAGTCGCAGGCTCGACAAAAAGGAGTTCTTAATTAAGAAATAAACTGATTCACTGAGCGCAGCTGGATACACCCGCAGAGGTCCAACCCTGAACAGTTGGGGCAAAAATGGACACAATATTCAAGCTTGATACAGGTCTGAATTTGGATTGTAATTAAATATTTGACATATTATAGTTTCTGAATAAATGTAGTCAAAGAACTTGAAATCGGTTATATGAATTGAATTTATATTCAATTAAAGATTTCTTGCTGTTGTGCAATACACTGTGCTGTTGCGCAATACTTAATAAATCTGTTGCCAGACTATAAACAAATAAAGTTCAATTTCTTCTCAATGTCATATTTAAAATTTATGAAAATCAATAGGGAGATTACATCAATAGCTATAAATAATTCACCAAAGTTTCATGCGAACTGCTTAAAGCATTTTTGAGTTGTTGTTCAAAAACTGGAAAATCCCCCCTTTTTTAATGAATAAAACCCCATAACTCAGAAATGTAAAATCTAAAATTTATAAAATTCTAAAGGTAGCTTACGGATTGATAATTTAGTCTTAGATGCAAGATTTTTTTATCAGTTGTTAGTGGCTTTGAACTAGCTGTCAGTAAATGCGAGTACTCTCAGATCTGTACTTAGTGTCTTTTTGTTGTTTGGATGTACAACTACCCGGCCACGTCCACTTGTATTTGTATTTATCCATCTGATGAGTTAAGCCTCTTTCAACTGATTTTTATAGTTCATTCTTATATTGTACTGTTACACCACTGTCCCAGGTTAGGGGGTGGGTTGGGATCCCGCTAACATGTTTAACCCCGCCACATTCTGTATGTACATGTATGTGCCTGTCCCAAGTCAGGAGCCTGTAATTCAGTAGTTGTCGTTTGTTTATGTGTTGCATATTTGTTATTCGTTCATTTATTGTACATAAATTAGGCCGTTAGTTTTCTTGTTTGAATTGTTTTACATTGTCATTTCGGGGCCTTTATAGCTCATTGTGCGGTATGTGCTTTGCTCATTGTTGAAGGCCGTACTGTGACCTATAGCTGTTAATTTCTGTGTCATTTGGTCTCTTGTGGAGAGTTGTCTCATTGGCAATCATACCACATCTTCTTTTTTATATTTACATCAACAGATATAAACAATTCACCAAAGTCAAGGTGAGACAACAAAACTTAGTTGTAAGATCTCTGAAATTTTTTACACGGTACAAGTTTTTCTAATTGTTGGAGATTGTATGGTGACAGTAACACCTGTAACTGCTTAACCCATTTCTTATGCACTTTGGTTAGATAAACTCACTGAATATCATACCACATCTCTTTATTTTTATATGCATTACAATTTACATGTGCATGTAATTGTAAATAATATTTATACATATATATTAGAACAAACTTCATTGTGTCACTTTTATTTATGCATCCTTTGGCACAATACAAGTTCTAAAATTACACAACATAAAACAACTAAATGTTATATCAGATGAAAGTTTTGTTTCAGTTCCATTCATAGGATTTATTAGAATTTTGTATGTTTTGCCAAGTCCAATAATTAGCTCTATGTGCATGTGTTAATTGGAGACTTTTTTATCCCGTATAAGAGTTTTGGAACTAATTCTGTTTCTTTTTTTGAAAAAAGTGAGCAAACAAATCTTGCACATTTAAACCTTTGTCTGCCATCACACTGTCACCTGGATCACATAACTGAACTATTCTACATCTTTCAACTATTTCACAGTCACTGGTACAACCAACATATGCATTAGAGACATAGTTGACTAAACCACCAGGTGTCGAACATACAAGTATTTTCAGTGTTTCTGTTTTTATATGATGAAAAGGTTGCCTGAGCTCTAGGAGCTTTAGGTTTTATCACGGGATATTCTGTGCTGTCGATAATAATCCAAGTTGTAGGAAACTTTAATTTGAAGTTGGATGGCGAAAAATACATGACTAAACCACTAAATGGCCAAGTGTTAGCCTCACGCCACTGTTTAGACATAAAAACAATCCGTGTTTACACAATATTCTTAACACTAGTTTCAATCTAGAATCTTGACAGTTCAAAGTTGGTTGTATAATGCCTCAATTTCATCAAAGTCATAAAAAAACTGATTTTCAAATGACACCCTATCAATTTGAAAATATATGTATCTCAAACAATGTGCTGCTGGACCAAGTGTGGTCAAAACAAATAAAAATTTAGTATACAACTCTAAACTGGTATAAAAATGCATGGCTGTGTCACGTGTCTTCATTTCAAAATTCTCTGCTGAAAATATAAGCATTGATGGTGTTTGCGTAATTCCATCTGTGAAGCTCAACATTAGCTCGGCAGTTGGTGGTGGACAGTCATAAATCCTGTCTGCAGTATGAATGACTTCTTCAGGAAAACCAACTTTACAATCAAAACTTTCCTCTAGATTTCTACTACATTATTCATCAAGTTTAGTTCTTTTGTTTTCACAGGAAACTGCCCTGATTTTTCTTTTTGCGAGCGATTCAGTCTCTTGCTTGGTCCAGGAAAATAGGCTGGGAATGGCAGTAGACTTAAGTCTCTGTATGGTGGGTTTGCGCCCTGAAAAAGGTTATAAAACATTAGTTTTTTGATAATTAAATGAACTTCCATTAGCAATGCATACTTTGTACTACCTGGCAAAATATTAACTAGATTTATTCATAACAATCTGGATAAAACTATGTTAGCCTGATTCAATGTACATCAAAATGTATGTTATGTAAATCCAAAGGACAAACAATGAGAGACATATGCAACAAACATACATTGTTTGTACCTAAATAGCTATAATATAGATGAGAGCATGTCATTGTTTTGTTCCTGTTAACATTGTCATTGATATTTTTCAAGAAAGTCTATGAGGCATAGCTTATGCATTCCTGTCATCACTACATTAGCATAATTACTGCTAAAATAATTCTCAGTATGATATACCTCTTGTAAGAAATCATTATAATTGTAGCAAGCACCAAAAAATCTCAAACAGATCACATTGAATCGTAATCCAAAAAATTATGACGTCTTGAATTAACCACCCCCTTTTATTCTAAAACGATAATTGCGGTTGTAAACAGACTTTGGTTTATTCGCATGGCGATTACATATATAACTATATATCTTAAAAAGAAAATAGAGTTTTACCATGAATAGTTTCCTGCACGTAGTCTTTTTCAGTAAAATGTGCCTTGCAAACAACAGCTGATTGAGATGGATTCAACGATTTCATCGTGTTCTCGTCCAATCTGCGTATGGGCCATGGCGTTGATCCAACTTTTCCTTCTTTTTAAGTCATTTGGAAATGCATGTCCTCCTCTTAAATGACATCCAGGTACACAACAACAAGAACTTGGCATCGTTAATTAAAAATGCAACTGTAATAGTTGCACAGTGCAGAAACCGGAAGTTGAAGAACAGGATAGGCTACCACGGCGCCACCTATTCAGGAACGATAATTTGCTACTTTATATAACTGCGAAATAACAATAACGTTAGACGGGTTCGCGTGCATAAACAGAAATGCGCTTTAAATTGTATAATATAATTCATGTTCAGTCAACCTTTAATTATTATATCAACGACTGAAATGATTTATAAACATCTAGATTGCAGATAACACTCGAAATTAACCCGACCTCTTTCCACATAGAATTCAAATAATTCTAGTTTGTCAATCGGTTGACTGCTTATAATGTAAAATACAAATATATCAAAAGTTTTTAAAACTAACAAAACACGATGATCGTTTCTCTATTTCCCAATGTAAATGAAATGAAACAAAAAACATTTTATATCACAATAAGAAGAGGAGAGAATCAACATTTTCCGGATCTACTTGGAGCCTAATGACCCCCCACGTAGATGAGTTGGATATCGCGGAAAGAAAGATTAACACGGCAACTAGAAAGGCATTAAAGCACTGCCTTTAAAAACTAAGTTCATTTTTCAGTAATATATGGAAAAACAGGAAATAAATTTTTACAAAATTTCCGTCTAGATACTAGCTTTTGATCATAAACAAGCTTCTGTCCAAGTTTGGTACAAATCCAGGATAATTAAAGAAAGTTATTAAAATTTTGAAAACTTTAACCACAGAGTGAATGTCATGCTAACTGACAGAAAAACTAAGTCCATTTATAAGTAAAATACGGATAAACAGGATTTTTTTTTTGACAAAATTTACTTTTGAATACTATCTTATGATCATAAACAAGCTTCTGTCCAAGTATGGTACAAATCCAGGATAGTTTAAGAAAGTTATTAAAATTTGAAAACTTTAACCACAGAGTGAATATTTGTGGCCGCCGCCGACAGAATGTAGGATCGCTATGTCTCGATTTTGCGACAAAAGTCACAGACTCGACAATAAAATTCTAAACTTTACGAAAATTCACAAGATTTATGGATTTTGGAAGAGTGACTTAAAAACTATCTGAACTGCTCAATAAATTAACCACATAATTCCAAAGGTTCAACAAATACAATGAATTGGTAAGTTTTATTGTAAAGTAGATATATTAAGTCATATAAAATGAACAATATAAGTGTGATTTATAATGGTTTGTGAAATTCACAGTTACTGGGAATGCCATCTGCGTCATTTTTGTCAAGCCTTCTGTACCCTTCTGTGATGAATTGAATGTGCGATTATGACAAATTTGAAGTGACAGATTATAAGTTCAATATACTGGCATCACTTATTACATTGATAATGATATTATCAGAAATTTTAAGATAATAGCAAGTACATATTTTTTACACACGTCCGTTTCCGCATCGTGTCATTTAATAACTATGACCTGACGATAAAATCAGCTATAATTAGATAGTGTCAAGTCCTGTCAATATATATGTTCCTGGGAAAATGCATTATAAATAATTGCACTCTTGAAACCTATAGTAACTGTGCACTTGATTTATTTCTACAGACTTACCTCCCCTTTTCCTTCCCTGGCAAAGTAACCCATGTCTGGTACATCAACAACTTTAATTTTACATCCAGGTAATGGACTTCCTACATGTCCTGTCAATTAAAATCAAACTGTGAAAGTGCACAGACCTTTTATAACATACTGAAAAGAGGTGATCTAACCAACTTTTTTTTTCATTTAAGGAAATAATGCAATCTCTAAAATACAAAATATTTAACCTCTATTTTAAGAATACACTGTCACCAGAAAGAATATTTAAGTTAAACCTGTTATTCTCATTGTTGAAGGTCGTGCAGTTGCCTATAATAGCTTACATCCACTTCATTTGAACTGTTGTGGATAGTTGTCTCATTGGCAATCATACCTCACTCATCTCCTTATTTCTATATACAAACCAAACAGTTCTTAAAAATTAACAGAGAAAATGTTGCGAAATTGTTTAACTTGTGTCTGATCCATTTGTCATTTTAAACAATAAAATATATTTAATTTAAACTAAATAATAACATTTACGGTACAGAGTGGATAATGTTAAAGTCTTAGTTTCTCTACATTATACCTGTTGTGTAATCCCCTGCTATAGTCAATGTACACCCTGCCAGTGCTTCTGTTTGTCCATAACCTTCCGCTACCTGTTAATACAAATGAGATGTCCAATGGAATACTGTGGATAAATTATTATTCGTTGGATACCAATTTTCGTGGGTTTCGTAGGTACATGTAAACCACGAATTCAAATCTTTCATAGGCTTTGTATGCAGAGATTGGTAAAACCACTAAATCAAATATCAACGAAAATGCAAGTTTTCCTCCATCCACGAAAATTGATACCCACGAAAAAAAATGAATCCACGGTAAATATTCTGAAGAATAAACATAGCATAAGAAAGGGCTATGTACTTTTTTCTTTGGCTATATATAATAAGCGTTATTTCTCTGAAAAAAGAATTATTCCTTCTTGCTGTTGTGTCTGAATAAGGGGATTTCCCTATATTTTTATCTTTTTTGACAGTGTTAAAAAATGCTCACAGGCTAGAAACTTAATTATGTGATGCATCTACTTACAAAAAAATTTCCACATGAATACTATTAAAACATTGTTTCTCATTATAACTTTGTATTAAAAGAATTAGGTATATCAAACCTAAATATAAAAGCATGTTATATTTTATTTAAGGACATACCATGTAAAAAATTTCTAATTATGAGTTTAAGAAAAAGTACACTTAAATCAGATATAAAGAGTAAACTTCTAAAATATGTATTTCTCAATTCAAAATTACTTTGGTAGAGAAAACAAGTTAAAACTAAGAATTTATAGATAGGCAAGTACAATCACTGGTGTTAAACTGATAATCGTAACTGGAATTACGATGATCCCAATATGGCGACGGCAGAAATAGGTAAAATCTTTTCAGTCATTTTTCTCAAATGTAGCCCGTTGTTGTCAAGAGTTACTCAGCTGCAAAGTTTTTCTATACCATTTCATCATATTTGAATCCTAACGGTGCACTATATTTGTCTAAGCCCTTAGAAAATTGACATCGAAAAATTCGGGATGATAATCGTAACTCGCAAAATGATAATCGTAATTTTGGTATTAATAAATAAGAAGATAACCGTAACTGGATAGTGTTCGATTGGTATTGACACGAAAAACGTCTATCTAATAGCATATGATGAAAATATGGTGATGAATTAATCACGAAAATGTTCCCACACAGTTCTAATGTAAACAGCTACATACTAGTATATATCATAAAATTGGAAGGGGGACCAGCTTTAATAAATTTGTAAATGGGGAAACACGAACTATGTTAAAATACTGAAAACTCCAGGAACTAGGACCGTCACAAAATATGGGAGAAAATTCTAAAAAATGTCATCATGATCTCTTCATGTTTAGAGTTAAAAAGAAATATTGTTTGGTATTCTATTTAAATACGGACTTGAAAACAAATGTCATACCTTTTTGAATGTGTAAAAAGTTGTATAGCCCATAAATACTATAAAAATGCTTAGCTACTTCATGACCGTCACTGACATTTGGATATCTCAGAAAATAACTATAAATTTAAACAATACCAATTTAGTTTGGCATTCTAATAATATGACATCCTTAAAACTTTTTATGATAATATAAGAGTAGAGAAAAGTTGGAATGCATTGTGTTTTATGGAGTTAAGCACATGGTGATGTGGAATTCATTGGCAAACATGGAATGGTGTTCTTTAATAGTTTGGCCAAAAGCCTGAAGATCAAGAAATCAAATTGATGTGGCCTTAAATTACCTTACAAGCTATATTCATTCAAAGAATGACTGCAACTTTAAGAAATCATAGCACATATTCCGCCATATCAGAAACAAACTGATTCAAGAAATCATAAATACTTGGTAGATGAAAAATATGCTGATATGATGCATACATTTGAACTCAACATGCAGACATCTTATACGTTCGGGTATTTCACATCCAATATTTTATGGTAATATTCTTTACAAAGCACAAACATGTCAGTATTCACCTCAAAAGCTAACAAAACCTTTAAACAGACTTATTAAAAAGGGATATGGTTAGGATACTGATGTCAGGTCATAAAAGATTGCATATTTTGGTATAAATATTGATTCACTTATAGGGTCTTTGCATCGGAATTAAACACATTTATTCTAAAACCAGTTGTTGGCATGACACGGGTTATGTTCTTCTCATATATTTTACGACGGTATAATACTAAACCCCTAACAGGAGGGATTGTGCCTGATATTCATATGATGCAGACATAATCTTTCAATCAGTTTAATTGAGGTCTGGAGCTGGCATGTCAGTAACTGCTAGTAGTCTGTTGTTATTTATGTATTATTGTCATTTTGTTTATTTTCTTTTGTTTCCTATTCTGACATCAGACTCGGACTTCTCTTGTACTGAGTTTTACTGTGCGTACTGTTGTGCATTTGTTTTTTCTACATTGGCTAGAGGTATAGGGGGAGGGTTGAGATCTCAAAAAACATGTTTAACCCCGCTGCATTTTTGCGCCTGTCCCAAGTCGGGAGCCTCTGGCCTTTGTTAGTCTTGTATCATTTTTAATTTTAGTTTCCTGTGTATAATTTGGAGTTTAGTATGACGTCCATTATCACTGAACTAGTATACATATTTGTGTAGGGGCCAGCTGAAGGACGCCTCCGGGTGCGGGAGTTTCTCGCTGCATTGAAGACCTATTGGTGTCCTTCAGCTGTTGTCTGCTCTATGGTCGGGTTGTTGTCTCTTTGACACATTCCCCATTTCCATTCTCAATTTTATATGCATGGAAGTTATTGTAGAGAAAAAATATTGAAGGTAACAAAGAACATTTTTGTACTTGCATAATTACCATATACTTTTCTATTAAATGATAACAAAAATTAGCCTTTCATAATTGTCATGCATTTTTCTGAAACACAAAATATTTGTTTGATTATCTATTAAAGTCTTTGTAATTAAACCAGTTTCGACCGTGATGATCTACATATTAGGCCTTCTGAGGACCAATACACACATATATATATAAGATATATCTGTGGTTTTTTTTTTCAGTACTTCAAATGCTTCGCAAGACTATATGTGCCATTTACTTAAGGCTAATAAAAACAATAAACACAAGTAACAATAAACACAAGGAACAATAAACACAAGTAACAATAAACACAAGGAACAATAAACACAAGGAACAATAAACACAAGTAACAATAAACAATTATAGTAACAATAAACTGGTAACTATTCTAGATACTTTACCATCCACCCTTAAAGAAATGTCCTAAAATACATGGGTATTTAATCATTACAAAATATTTGAATTTAATTTTTAAAATCATATAAAATATCAGTGTAAAACAGAACAAAAGTGAATTCACTTGAAAAATATGAACGGCTATTTTAACCGGGATACATTTCACTCCAAAATTAAACTATATATGTATTTCTATTGAAATATAAGGAAAAGGGCAAAATGAAAACACTTATCCACCAATCAAAGTATCAACTGTTAAATCCAATAATGCAGTTAAGTAACTGATGGAAAATTTTGTTCATTTCTCGCAGAAATTTAGTATAAACATTCAATTTATAGCACCCCACCCCCATTTCCCTTTTACATAATTTGTGGACCCATCCCTGAATACAAAAAACAGGGAACTCAAAACTGACAGCGATCTTATGATAGGGCATGGGGGAAGGGGTGGTGTCACTTCTGGCGTGCTGCTGAAATTAAATAAAAATATCCCCTTTCATAAATTCCTGAAGACCAAAAATCTGATCCATGTTATAACTTATATATTTATATAGGAAGTAAGCCACAGCCACCTCCGTGGTATAGGGAATATTGAGATAGGGGAAGTTAACTTGCCCTTTTTATTGATTTAAAAGTCAATAATGCTAATACCACCCTCCCTTCCCCACTTCCAAAAAAAAAAAACCCCAAACACGAAAAACAACATTGAAACTTTGAAAGAATCTAAATTATCTATTTACCGCAATAACTGACTCGACAGCTGCTTCATTTTCCATATCTTTCACAGGTACATGTATATATTAAAAGGTTATGCATATTGTTGTCAGTTATAAATCGAGATATATATACATGTAAGTAAATTTGTCCTAAATATTAACCTGTAAGTTGCTTCAATATTTTTCATTTTGCGCGTTAATGTCATCGTTTAACTGGACATTGCCGTTTTTACACACAAAATACCATTGACTAGCAGGAAGACACATTTATCATTTTTCAGTTACTATTATCCCATAAAGAAATTACGATTATCAAACAAGAAAAATGCCATCGAATTACGATTATTATCCCGAATTTTTCAACAGCAATTTTCTAAGCGCTTAGACAATTATAGTGCACCGTTACGATTCAAATATGATGTAATGGTATAGAAAAACCTTGCAGCTGAGTAACTCATGACAACAACGGGCTACATTTGAGAATCAAAGCACGAAAGCGCTGTAAAGGCAGTTAATTACAGGTTGTGTGTATTTTAAGTCCAGTTATATCATTATCTTGCATAGTACAATGTACTTATCAGAGGTGGCTTTCAGTATTTAAGATTTAGAGTTCTCTAATGATATTGAATAAGTTTTATGAATGTCATATTCTGAGCACTATATGAAGGCGATTGTTCTCACTTGTTTATGAACTAGTGCATAATGTCCAGTTTGTACCTTTTTTATCTATGTTTATAGTCAAATTAGTTATCAAAGGTACCAGGATTATAATTTAATACGCCAGACGTGTGTTTCGTCTACATAAGACTCATCAGTGACGTTCAGATCAAAATAGTAACAAAGCCAAACAAGTACAAAGTTGAAGAGCATTGAGGACCCAAAATTCCAAAAAGTTGTGCCAAATACGGCTAAGGAAATCTATTTCTTGGATAAGAAAATCCTTAGTTTTTTCATTGGCAATCATAACACATCTCCTTATTTATATAATGATCTATATTCAACGACCTCAGGTACAAAAAAAATGTATGTAACTAAACTATGATGGGAAACCTTTGACTTCTTTCTTTATATAAACTTTTGATTTGGTACCATAGAACTATGTAGAGTAAATGTACATTGCAACATGTCAACTCTTTCAACTCCAA